GGGAGGGTCTGGTCGCCCCCAACTAGACCCTTCATAAATTTAAAGCCTTCATAGGGTTGAATGAAATTACATTTTATATTAAATTATTCTTTAGAACAAAATTGACTAAATAAGCAGGGGCGGATACAGGGGGGGGCGGCAGGACCTTCGAACCCCCCCCTTGACGGATTCAGGGGGGGTATCCCCCCCCGTCCAGAGATTTCAGAATAGCTACCCATTAGCACTTAAAGGAAGGAAAACCTATTGCAAAACAGGAAATATATCTTTAAAAAAACTTTTGTTCCTAAATCTGAATGTTTTGTTCCAAAATGAATCTAGCACCCCTCCCCCTCACTTAAATCCAGTATCCGCCCCTGTAAAAAAGTCAAAACTCACCCTCTCCATTATCTAGCTGTTCCTGTTGATGTGAATGGTGGGGAGGATGGAGACTGGGAACAACGTTATAACTTAACTTTCGTCCGAAAACGTATTTGGTTTCAAAATTTTTTGCACAGAAAACACTAAATTTTCAGAAACCTGGCCTTCCTGTGAAGTTACTCCACGTTTTTTAACTTTACAGCTTTAGGAAAAGAATAAAATCTTATCTTATATGTTTGATCCGTGTTACAATTTAACACTGAACAATACCTCATGCTTGTTTATACTGAGAAATCATGTAACTGATCAAAACATATCCCCCAAGAACAGTTTACTAAATGTACACAATAACGTACATACCAATACATGTTTACATTGTCATACCAATACAGGTTATTCTATAGTATATATATTCTGAGATTGAAACGCTAAGATTGTTGCTGGAAGAGTGTGCGCCCTTAAAGACTAGAAGTGTATGCAATAAAACGACAAAAGAGACAAGGATGTTATTTTTTTAAACCAAAATCGGTTGGTTTTTTTTCTAACAAAAGAGAAGAGTTAATTATGACACCAAATGTTATAATTAGAATCACGAACGTGTAACTACAGAGCGTCCCAAATCATATTAGATTATCTCTAATCTTGAACACCAAAATAAACCCTTAATACTCGAAAAAGTTATCATTTTCCACAAGAAAATTCTTATATAAGCCTTATGTTATTTTTCAAAATGATTCATTCTAATGAAATTTTCTAATTAGTCCCGAAAATCGTAATTTAGACCCCTTCTCGGTCTAATGTGGGACACCCTGTATATGACCCCAACTCCTAGTTTATTATCCATAGAGAAACTAGAGCGTTAAAGCTACTCATTATTCATAGTGGAACTAGAGCGTAGAAGCTAGAAATTATCCATAGAGAAACTAGAGCGTTGAAGCTAGAAATTATCCATACAGAAATTAGAGCGTTGAAGCTAGAAATTATCCATACAGAAACTAGAGCGTTCACAGTAGAAATTTCCATAGAGAAACTAGAGCGTTGAAGCAAGAAATTATCCATAGAGAAACTAGAGCGTTGAACCTAGAAATTATCCATAAAGAAACTAGAGCGTTGAAGCTAGAAATTATCCATAGAGAAACTAGAGTGTTGAAGCTAGAAATTATCCATGGAGAAACTAGAGCGTTGAAGCCAGAAATTATCCATAGAGAAACTAGAGCGTTGAAGCTAGAAATTAAGATAAGATAAGATAAGATAACGTTTATTGCTAAAATAAATGTATCTGTATACAGATAGAGTTTACAATCACAAAATTGATGATTATATTAACAGTACAAGTATAAAGCAATTAGGTGGAAAATAGCTCTTGGCTGTTATTTATCCATAGAGGAACTAGAGCGTTGAAGCTAGAAATTATCCATAGAGAAACTAGAGCGTTGAAGCTAGAAATTATCCATAGAGAAACTAGACCGTTGAAGCTAGAAATTATCCATAGAGGAACTAGAGCGTTGAAGCTAGAAATTATCCATAGAGAAACTAGAGCGTTGAAGCTAGAAATTAGCTATAGAGAAACTAGAGCATTGAAGCTAGAAATTATCCATAGAGAAACTAGAGCGTTGTAGCTAGAAATTATCCATAGAGTAACTAGAGCGTTGACGCTAGAAATTATCCATAGAGAAACCAGAACGTTGAAGCTGGAAAATAACAATGGAAAACCCAGAGCGTTAAAGCTAGAAATTATCCATAGAGAAACCAGAGCGTTGAAGCTGGAAAATAACAATGGAAAAACCAGAGCGTTAAAGCTAGAAATTATTCTGTACGAGTTTGCGAACAAAATAATCAGGGGGAAAAGTGTAAGACATTCTTAACATTATTTTTAAAATTACGAAGGAGCGTTCACAAGCAAGAATATGGCAAAAATATATAAATTTTCATTGCTCTTAATTGTGTATGTATTTTAAAGCCGTAGTTTCCACTCTCTATAGTCATTAGTCACCCTATTATTCAACGTAATTATTAGTGGAACATTATTAAAAGTAAGGAAATGGAAAGTAAGGAGTGGGCTGCTAAAAAATCACCTCCAAAGAGTGTTTTACTTTGAACTCTGCAACTGCAGCATGTTCTGAAGTATGTATTAAAACTTGTGATATATATAACTGCAAAAAAATTCTATTTTATTCAAATATTGATGGTTAAAATTGATCAAATATTTATGATTTCTTTTGTTCAAAAGTAAGAACTTTTGTATCTGATTTGTTATAATTATATACTTTTGTTATATTTACATCGACTTTTTTAGTTGACGTATAATGTTAATATATATTTCAAAGTCTTGTCTGACGTTTCCTTTGTTAACAAATATTAATTAATCATTAACTTCTAAGAATGTGCATCCTTTTCAGCTCCGGTTTTAAACATTGAATTTTTATTTTCACCTTTAAAAATATTGCTTTTTATGAATTTTATATATGTAGATATATGTATATTCATTTATTGAGGTGTCCTGTTGTGAATTTAACATACCACTATACAAGTGCAGGGTTACTTGAAATTAAATACGTCTACAGAGCACTTAATTTTGAGATAAGATTGGCATATTCTTAGTAAGTCTCTAGACAAACCAAAAAACTAAACCCATCTCTTAAAGAAATTATCCATAGAGACTTTTTCCTTGGTGAATCATGCATTTTCACCTTTTANCCCCTGGAAAATTAAGATCACAAGAGTGTGTGACACCAGTTCTCGTTAGATCACTGAAGTTAAGCACACTTGTCTCCAGCCAGAAACTGGATTGGTGTCCAAACTGGTGTTCACGGGTTCGATTTCCGTACTCCACACAAACCTGTGGTTTCAAAAAAACTGAATTTTAGTAAGGAATTACTCATGGATACCCCTGGAGATGACATAAATTAAATAAATTATAAGTTTTTTTAATTCGATTTTTAAAATTCCACCGGCAACGCCTGGCACTTCAGCTAGCTTGTGAACTTTGTAATAAAAAGAAATATTATAAATCGGCGGTGCAATGAATAAAGTAAATTAAATCCAAATAAAAAAATGGTCTTTTACTACCTCCAAACTCAAGCCTTTGTGGCTTGGCATTTAAAAATAATTGTTTTACTTCGCTATCCCTGATAGCGCCCATCCGATTAGGATGAATGTACATTCTAATAAATAGATTTCTCATTCAGACTTCTGTCATGGTGGCTCTGGTCCAGGTATACAATCTTCTTAGTGCACTAAATGAACAGTAAACTATTTTTTTTATGTTCTTCACACTTGAGTTTAAGATTTGAAAAGTTTGAAAGTTTGAAAGAGCTCTAGGGGGGCCCGCCCGCCCCCTTTACAGGTCTATGGGTGGGCACCGCCCCCCTTGCCCCCCCTGTATACGCCCGTGGGACCCAGGCCTCATTCCAGTATATCAGATGAATTCCTGCACTCTATCATTCTCAGGCCTAACAAGCCTTCAGGCAGCTGGATTTATTATTATTATTATTATTATTATTATTATTGCTACTTCTAATATTTTGTATCTATTTGTATCTATATTCTATGATTCAAGTTAGAAAGGCCAAACAAACACTTGTAAATAGAAAAACAAACATGAAAAAAATAAACATTGAATCATTTGTGTCTCTAGATAAATTTTATAAATATAAAAGAGATTACATTGATAAAAACTAAAATGATTTGAAATAAATTGAAAAGAAATTCTACGAATTCGATTGAATTTTAATTTCAAATCATCACAGTTGATCAATCATTGACTGCAGTGGCTCAATCATTAATTACAGTTGATTAATCATTGATTACAATTGATCAACCATTGTTTACAGTTGATCAATCATTGATTACAGTTGATTAAACATTGATTAAAATTAATAAATCATTGATTTCAATTGATTAAACATTGATTACAATTAATAAATCATTGATTTCAATTGCTTAAACATTGATTACAATTGATTAAACATTGATTACAGTTGATTACTTTGAAAAAAACATTTATTAAACTTGCTTGTGTTGTTGCTTGAAATATCGCTTTCAGTCCCTTAAAGATATAAGTTTATCAGTTTATCCTTTGAAATAAATTCTTTAGGACTGCATCTACCATGCTTGTTTTATTGAATATTAAACATGATATGTTAGACATTTATATCTAATTAAACATGATATGTTAGACATTTATATCTAATTAAAACATGTCAATTTATCTCTTCGTTCTTTAGAGACGTGGTATTAGGATGTAATTATCTACCACGCACCTTTGCCCCTTTAATATAAGTAAATTCAACCAATATGAAGCATACAGTCGGACCGCGTCAACCTTGTTGCACCGGCTAGTCCTGTCCATAGAGCTAGGTACAGTACAAACTGGAACCAGAAAGGTTGACCCGGCTCGGAAATTCAAATGTACTACGGCTGCCCATGCTATGTTACCCCCACATGGGATCCCTAAAAAAATGTCAGCCCTTTCGGTCCAGCCGTTGGCCGGCAATAGGGAACATATATACGAATGTTTTGTTTTATTATATAGAAGATAGATGATTATGCATTTTGATACTTATATATTGTATATTTTCTATTGAGATAAAACCTTTTAACAATAAAAGTAAAAAATACATTTTTCAATTTAATTGTTGCAATATTTTTGCACTTTTTATTGATTCTGTTGCAAATTACAAAATTCCTAGAAACTGAAAGAAAAATAAGAGAACGAGAATATTCCACTGCTTTCTGATTTGCACTGTATATACAGTGTTACCAAAAAAACATGAGACTTTAGAGATGAATTTACGTAATCTATTTTGTCCGTTTCTTTATATTCATGATTCTCTGCAACTGTAAACTTATCTTTTCCTATTCAAAATCTTAAATGAACCAATAAAAGACTACATTCAATGCAGACGACAAAATTGAGCTTAGTAGATTCATATTTCAAGTCGTCTTTACAGTCTCATCCTTTGTGGTTTATCGTATTTATTTCTTGTTAGACATCAATGTGCTCAGTTCTGCTTTGAACCCAATCCAGTGCTTCTATCTTACCATCTCTTTCAAATCTAAGAAAACACAATTTTTTAAATACATATTGCTAAATCTGAATGATTATTCATTTGGATGAGACATGTTGTTAAGCAGTTTACCTGGAAGCGACAAGTTGTTTAATCAATTTACCTGGAAGTGACATGCTGTTAAATCAATTTACTTGGAAGAGACATGTTGTTAAGCAATTTACCTGGAAGGGACATGCTGTTAAATCAATTTTATACCTGGAAGTGACATGTTGTTAAATCAATTTACCTGGAAGTGACATGTTGTTAAATCAGTTTCCTAGAAGTGACATGCTGTTAAATCAATTTACTTGTAAGTGACATGCTGTTAAATCAATTTACCTGAAAGGGACATGTTGTTAAATCAATTTACCTGGAAATGACATGTTGTTAAGCAGTTTATCTGGAAGCGACATGCTGTTAAATCAATTTTATACCTGGAAGTGACATGTTGTTAAATCAATTTACCTAGAAGTGACATGGTGTTAAATCAATTTACCTGAAAGTGACATGCTGCTATATCAATTTACCTGGAAGGGACATGCTGTTAAATCAATTTACCAGGAAGAGAATTGTTGTTATAATAATTTACCTAGACGGGACATGTTGCTATATCAAATAATTGATCAATTTATCAAAAGCGACATGTTGTCGAATCAACAGTTTGATCAATTTATCTGGAAGGGGTTGTTAAATCGACTAAATGATTATTTACTTGGAAGGGAATTTACCTGTTAACTCAATTTATTGATCAATTTATCAAGAAGTGACGTGATTTTGAATAAATTGATTGATCAATTTATCAAGAAGCGACATTTTGTTTTAAATAGACTGATTGATAAAATTACCTGGAAGCGACATGTTGTCGAATAAGTTGATTGTAATTATTTAACCAGCTGATTTCCTCGGAGCTCAGAGCGGAGAAATTAATCAATTTGGGTTCGAACGGAACCAAGGTCACCGGCTCAAATATGATAAATCGACCATAATCTAAAATACAAGTTTTGTATAATTCTAAAAAATCAATCTTGCAGAAAATTTGTAACTTCTTTTCCTCCAAAATAAAACGTTAAAACTTCAAAATATTGGATTATTTGGAAATTTATCTTAAATTGGGACAATGGGAATTAAAAATTGGATAAAAATGGGAATATTTCACCTTCGTTATCCAGGTCCATGGGAACAACTTTTAGAATAGTTTCCAACCGAATCCCATACTCGCCAGTCTGAAATAATAAAAAAATGGAACAAACTAATAAAATTATAAAAAAAATAGCTTTATTCTGTTGAAAGGGAATTGAGTCTTTGTCACAAACTCTGCTTTTCTAATCCTTTACATGTCTTTGCAAGCTAATGTGATGACTATAGATATTTTAAACTATAAATTCTGTTAAATCAAATAATCTAATTTTGAAATAGTGAAGTTTTACACCATCAGGTTGCAAATATAAAGGGATCTGAAAATACTCAATTCCTTTGTCAGTGGTTTGACGTAATGTCATAGTCTGATCTTATTTGAAAAAGTGTCTCTGATCTGAATCTATTTTTTCGAATCATTAAAGGAACAAAAAATTATTCTTTTGATAGCTTTAATACATGTTTACAAAATCAATGTTCCACACAAATTGAAAATGGCTGTCGCAAATGGGGCCCTGGGGGTCAAAAAATTGCAAAAGGGGAAAAACATCTCTAGCTAAAAATTTAGAAGTTCTAAAAATATTTAACAGTAAACCTACCTTATAGTATCCTGGTTTAACAGTAAACTTATCTTATAGTATCCTGCTTTAACAGTAAACCTACCTTATAGTATCCTGGTTTAACAGTAAACTTATCTTATAGTATCCTGGTTTAACAGTAAACCTATCTTATAGTATCCAGGTTTAACAGTAAACCTACCTTATAGTATCCTGGACGTTTAACAGTAAACCTACCTTATAGTATCCTGGTTTAACAGTAAACCTACCTTATAGTTTCCAGGTTCAACACCAAACCTACCTTATAGTATACTGGTTTAACAGTAAACCTATCTTATAGTATCCTGGTTCAACACTAAACCTACCTTATAGTATCCTGGTTCAACACTAAACCTACCTTATAGTATCCAGGTTTAACACTAAACCTACCTTATAGTATCCAGGTTTAACAGTAAACCTACCTTATAGTATCCTGGTTCAACACTAAACCTACCTGATAGTATCCAGGTTTAACAGTAACCCTTCCTTTTAGTATCCTGGTTTAACAGCAAACCTACCTTATAGTATCCAGGTTTAACTGTAAACCTACCTTATAGTATCCTGGTTCAACACTAAAACTACCTTATAGTATCCAGGTTTAACAGTAAACCTTCCTTATAGTATCCTGGTTCAACACTAAACCTACCTTATAGTATCCAGGTTTAACAGTAAACCTACCTTATAGTATCCTGGTTCATCAGAGAAAAACATTCCAGGTTTAAGTCCAGAAGATTTCTTTCCCTTCAGGTTTATAAGAGTAGGACCCTCATGAACCTTCACAAAAAAATTTGATTTATCATTTAAATTTTAAAATTGTATTTTTAAATTAACCTTTAAATATGCTCCAATACCGTGCCCTGTGCCGTGGTTATAATTCAACCCTTTCCTAAAAAAAAAATATAAATGAAAACTAATGCGTTTTTGGCAAAGAGAATCGAATATATATATTTGAGTGGAATTGAGATTATCCCTCGGTATGAATTTCGTCAGTCCCTTTCAGCCTGAAAGGGAGTTCAAAGTGTACAAATCATGTAAATGTTGTAGAGTACATTAATACAGTGTGTTCTCTAGACTATCCATTTCAATTTCGAATTTTTTTAATCTGTTAAATAAACTTTATAAAATGAATGAAGTGAATAAAAAACATTATTTGATTTATAGTTATAACGGAAAATCATCCTTTGTAAAGTGAAAGGCATAGAGTCTATGTGAAATGATCATGGGTCAACTATGAAACCAGCCTATTGTATAATTTGGTTTTCTTTTAATATTAATTTTAGATTTTCTATAAAATGCAAATAGTTTATCAAGTACAATAGGTGGCAAGAGAGAAATGGATCAATTATACACGACGTCACAAGTGTCAAATATAACAAGAAAAACTAAATTTTCTCACATTAGTTGACATGTTTTCCAAGATTAAATAAAAAAATGTAAAACTAGAAAATAAAGAACACATAGAATTGCACTTATTTTACTGTAAAATAAGCTTAATTCTAGAATTTTCACTATTATTAATAATTTTGTCGGACACAAAAACCTAAGTTGACACTTGTGACGTAAGAATACAACTGTACTGAGAGTGTACAAATTCTACGTTGCCATCTATTGTACTATAATCTATTTGATAAAATGATGTTCCAGGGCCCAAAAGGTTGTTAAGTTACAAATATGTGAAGTACACCTGCAGTATGGAAACAGTACAACAAAATGGCCGTTTTACACTTTTTCTAGTAAATTCCACTCTAATATATATTCTATTCTCTTTGGTTTTTGATCAAATAAACCCAAGAAGAGTTGGAAGTGATAAAGATAAAAAATATCTACAGAATTGTTAAAACTGGTATTGTTTGGCAACGACTCAGCAATAAACTGCAGTTAACTGGAAACCAAAAACCGTAAAGAAACAAACTCTGTGCTCAAAATATTTTTCCAAAATCATATTAGTCATATCTTAGCAGTATTTGTATTCAAAAGAAAGTGAGAAGACGACAATCATTTCACTGTTTATTGGCAATCTCTGTAAATAGATAAAAAAGGCAATTAAAAGAGTCCAAAGTTTACAGGTAAATTATTGCAAAGATGCTGGCATTAGAAAATCAGAGTTTGTGGCAAAGATTCATCCTTTTTAACAAAACACTTATTTGCTATGTAAATTACTTTTAAAGAGCAATTACAATCAATTAAAGTTTTTATTTTAGCTCTGATGAAGGTTTAAAGGGCAACGTTGTAAATTTTAAATGATAATTACACGTGTACAGTCCCTTTAACGTACCTGAATAGATACTGCCTAGTGACTAGATCAATCCCTGTATCAACTGTATTCTCCGGTAGTCTGGATAGAGCCAGCTGTATTGCTCCACGGAGTACATCAGTGTAACGTTCTATCTAAATAATGGAATGTTCCCGTAACGTCTGTAGTTCCTAACTTGTTCATGTCTAGGTGTTTCATAATGGAACGTTCTAGTAACGTCTGTAGTTCTTAACTTGCTCCTGTCTAGGCCTTTCCATAATGGAATATTTTAGTAATGTCTGTAGTTCTTAACCTGTTCCGGGCTGTGTGTTCCATACTGGAACTTTCTAGTAATGTCTGTAATCCTAACCTGTACCTGGCTGGGTGTTCCATAATGAAACGTTCTAGTAATGTCTGTAGTTCCAAACCTGTTCCTGGCTGGGTTTTCCATAACGGAACGTTCTAGTAACGTCTGTAGTTCCTAACCTGTTCCTAGCTGGCTGGGTGTTCCATAACGGAACGTTCTAGTAACGTCTGTAGTTCCTAACCTGTTCCTGGCTGGGTGTTCCATAATGGAATGTTCTAGTAACGTCTGTAGTTCCATCCAGGTATTGGCCTCCACTATCCACAAGGTAAAGGTTGGAACTAAAATAATACCTATAAAGATATGTACAATGTACCTCGTACATCCTCATACCAAATACATACTTTGGTGAAATGTACAAATATCATGTTGTCATATTGTAAAGACTACAGACATAAACATTATACAAGCTAATAGAAGAACATAAACATATACGGTGATAACCAGTTCTCGTCGTCTTCGATTCTCTTTTGAATAATAAAAAGATTTTGTAATTTGCAACTGAAAGGTTTATAAAAAGTGCCTCTAGGTCACAACTTTTGTTTTGGGAATCTTGGATTTATAAAACCCATCTTTGACATTCCTTGATGCTCATACCCTGGAGGGATAACTTTAATTAAGGGATCAAGCGATGATCCTCAGATCATATGTGCTCTAATTGGATATTGAGATCAAATATTTACAATATTTACAGAAAAATTCTGATCTCTGTTTTTAAAAAGCGCCCTATTTGAAATCCAATAGTTGTCGTACCCTACCCTGTACAGGGATAACTTAAATTAAGGGATCAATTGCATTGATCATCAAATTGATCAAAAAAGTGCCGGAGATTAATTGTTATGATTGATTAATTGATTAATTAATAAACCTTAAAAGTTCTTGGTTCCCCCCAGAGTTTTAGAGAAAAAGTCTTACCTATCAATATTTTTATCAGTTTGAGGAGATGGTGAGTAGTGTATAATGGCTCCATTAGAACCGAATCCAGATATTGTTGTAAAGCTCAACCCTCTACTATCCTGTATAAGAACTTAATTAGGATACCAATAGAACCGAATGCAGATATTGTTGTAAAGCTCAACCCTCTGTTATCCTGTATTAGAAGTTAATAGGGACACCATTAGAACCGAATCCAGATATTGTTGTAAAGCTCAACCCTCTGTTATCCTGTATTAGGAGTTAATTAGGACACCATTAGAACAGAATCCAGATATTGTTGTAAAGCTCAACCCTCTGCTATCCTGTATTAGGAGTTAATTAGGACACCATTAGAACAGAATCCAGATATTGTTGTAAAGCGCAACCCTCTGCTATCCTGTATTAGGAGTTAATTAGGACACCATTAGAACAGAATCCAGATATTGTTGTAAAGCTCAACCCTCTGCTATCCTGTATAATTAAGACACCATTATGCATTAGACTTCATATTCGCGTCCTAACTCTTCATTTTTGTTATGTTTCAACACCTAAAGCTGTAATAGGCAATTTTTTGCGAAATATGTAAGACCTTTAATATCAACATGTATTTGCCAAGAGTTTTTGAATATATAAGATGTTTAATATATTTTTGTGTTCAAAATATGTTATTATACTTTAAAGGACTATTGACATGTATTTGCAATTTATTTTTTGTAAAAAAAAATGTTTGAAAAAATAAAATCGACTTTTTTGCCTTTGTCACGAGTTTTTGATGTACAAGATCTATCTGGCTAATAGACTTATTTGTGTGCGAAATACGTGTTTTCTTCATACTTTAAAGACCTATTAACATAGTTTCGGCATGAATTTTTGATGTACAAATTTCCTTTAATAGATTTGTTCGTGTGCGAAATAGGGCTTGTCCATATACTTTTAAGAACGTGTGTTTGCCATACATTTTTAAATGTATGGCATAAGATGTTTCACGCACCTCTGACCCTTTAGTAAAAGTAAATTAAACAAAGTCTAACCCCGTCAACCTTGTTGCACCGGCTAGTCCTTTTGAGTGTCTGCATTATTTACCCAATGTCCGGGTGGTAAAGGTTGACCCGGCTCGGAAATTCAAATGTACTATGGCTGCCCGTGGTTTAATAGATTTAATTGCGTGCGGAATAAGTTTTTTTAATACTTTTCAGACCAATCCACATTTCTTTGCCATGAATTCTTTATGTATAAAATGTCCAAAAGATTTACCTTTGCTAATGGTAGATGTCAAAGTCTACTACAGTCAACAAAAATGGGTTCACACCCTTTGCTAATGGTGGATGTCAAAGTCTACTACAGTCAATAAGAATGGGTTCACACCCTTTGCTAATGGTGGATGTCAAAGTCTACTACAATCAACAAGATGGATTCACACTCTTTGCTAATGGTAGATGTCAAAGTCTACTACAGACAACAGAATGGGTTCACACCCTTTGCTAATAGTAAATATCAAAGTCTACTACAGTCAACAAAAATGGGTTCACACCCTTTGCTAATGATGGATGTCAAAGTCTACTACAGACAACAAGAATACATTGCTACTTTTGCTGAATCAATATGTTTTTATAAGTTCAATTAATTCATTCCTGAAAATGTTTTGATTATTTGAGTGCTGAATGTATATGTATGTATATTCACTTTAGAAATCTATATGAATAGTCTGTTTCAATAAATACCGATAAGAACAAAATTATTAAACATCATATTTTCTATTGGCGATAATAATAAATTTTCTTTTGTATTTTATTTTCTATATTCCTATATATATAACTATAAAACAAAGCTCTGTGCACATATCTATATATTTATATGTTAGCTTTGGCTGGCCAAACCGCTGGATAAAATTGGCTGAAATTTGTAACCTGGGGGTAACATAGGCTTCAAAATTCGAAATTTTTTATCATTCCACGGCCAACGCCGAGGACTTCGGCTAGTTTCTTATTATATTAAATTTCACCTCTTGACTTCTTCTAAACTCTTCCAGCAGAGTTGCAGCAGAGATCTCAGTCCAGTTGTAACGAGAATCCTAAATAGAAATTTAAATAAAATTGAAAAAAAAACATTTGTTTTACGCGGCTCAGACATTAGATCGACCAAAATGGGGCTCATACGCCAGATCTTACGGATTTTCTCTCGTTTTTTCAATAGAATTTTCAATATATGTTGCTGAAAAGGCAGGACCATGCTTTTTATTATTTTACGTAATCGATTTTTATTCTAAAAACTTAGTATAATTTATTATAAATAAGATATTCTATAAAAATGTTTTTGAAAAAAGTGGCATATGCAATTGTTTTATTTATTTAACATTATTGGGTTTTGCATTAAAAAAATTACAATCAAGAAGACATGAAGCAGCTTTTTTTTCTTCCATAAAATGCTGGTCTTAAATCAATAAGTATATCCTAATTTTTTAAGAGACAAAACTAGTGTGAAATGTTTTAAAAATAATATCTTATTCAAGAGCGTAAATAATTCATATTTCGAATTTCAATTCAGTAAGGTAACCTTTATGCAAAGCTTTATATCAATAGTTTCGAATACTTTATATTATTAAATAAACATAAAAAAATATTCCATTTAAATTTTAATATTTGATTTAATTTCCCCTGACCTGAATATCTTTTTCTATTCTTGAGGCCCATTCGCAGAGCGCCAGAGCGTCTTTTACATGCGCATTCATCATACCATCCTCTTCTACCTAGAGAGTTCTGGGTTTAAAAGTACTGTAAACGTCTTTTTTCGATCATGTTCAAGTAAGATAACCATTCTTTTTTATTTGAAAACTGATTATTTTCGTTTGTGGTTTCTTTTCTTGCTTCAAAAACAATGGTGAAATTCGCTAAATTTATACCTTTTCCAGTTAGTAAAGGGACCTGATCTTCAACATTATAATCAGATTATAATTGTAAATCACGTGACATGTTCCGCTTTAAATGAAGGATTATTCAAAGTTCCTTTAAAGGTTAAAAACATATTTGGGATGTCAGTGTTACACGTACTAAGTGACAAGCCCAACATAGCATATTGGGAATTTGTTTTTTTTCTGAAAAATATTAGATAATTATAAACCAGAATATTTACAAATCAGAGGCCGAATTTAAATAATTTAAACTGATCCGCTAAAAACCGGTTCCAATTGACGATGTTTAAACGCGCGTCTCATATTTGAGCCGTGATTCGAATTCTTTAAATTCTGACTCAGAAGAAAGTAATTTATTAAGAATTATTCAATAGATCAATTAACAGAAAAGTTTTTAGAAAAGGTAATCCTTAAATTTCTAAAAGTCATAAAAAGGTCACGATTTATACAAAAAAGGGTTTATGTGTTTTTTTTTCTAAATCCTATCTCATGTCTCATATCACGTTGATGGTGAACAACAGTAATGTGCTGGTATTTTGACAATTATGGATTTTTATTGTACAAAATTATACAGAATTTCTGTTATGATTGAAAACTTTTTAAAATATGTTTTGGTTAACTCTTTCTAATTCATTTTACCTTATTTTTTATGCTTTTCATATTAAGCACAGGAGACTCAGACATATCTCTAGAAACAAAATAATAAAAAAATTGTAATACCATTTTAAAATCTAATATTTGAAATAAAACCCATAAATGCATATATATTATAATTATTATTATAAATTTAATTCGTACACAAAGGTAGTCGGTAGATATATAAAAAGTTATTCATGGTTGAGGACTCAATATGAACAAAATTGTTAACAACAAAATTATCATCTTCAACTATATAATATAGATAATTCATAAAGAATGGTTAATTTTCGTTCATGGTCTAAAGAAATCTGATTGTAAATCATATTGTATATCATAACTGATGTTTCGTTAAGTTCTTTAGAATTTCTTTATTTTCCTCATTTAGAAAGAAAAAAAAATTTTCTTTGCAAAAAAATTTAATTATGAAATGTAATGTAATTAGAGAATCAAAGCTGTTTAAAAATTGTAATTAGTTCATACTTTTTAATTACTAAGGACTTTTTAATTACTAAGGACTTTTTTGTCCAGAATCTTATATTCTATTGTGGCGGAAGACGATCTAGTCTGGAGCCGGATATAAAGACGCGGCAAGCTGGGCATTCCAGCCACGTCACCATCTATATATATTTATTTGATTTTTAAATTTGCAAAATAAGTTATTTTCAGTTAAAAGTAATTATTTAGACTCGTCGTCTTGTTAAACTGAGCGTAGCTAAACTATATCATTCCTTCTTCCTTAAATAAATCAAATATTTTCACTAAAAGTCCCCTAAAGAAACTCGCCGCCATAAAATCTATTTTTCTTATCTTTATATTGTTTTTCAACCTTGTGATTTAGATCTAAAACCTTTGACATTTCTAACTTCCAAATATCAACCATCCATAAAGCATCAGGTTGCAAAAATAAACAATTGAAAGTTAGAATGTGTGGCCAGTGTTTAGTTCCTTCGTGCTACGCATATATAGGAGAATGTGGTTTGGGAGAAGTGAGAAGGAATGAAATTTGAAAGAAAAAAATAAATACCCCTCTATTCCTGGGAACTGACCTGTTCTGTTCTGGTAAAATACTGTAGACTGCAAAGTTTACCCCTGAAAGGTAGGAGGAAGGACTGCTCACCAGAATCTTGGAATCAGGATCCTTCGTAAGAAAAAACAATGAGCTAATCTTGCAGAATATGTTAAATAGCAAACCTCCAACCTTTTAATGCTTAAGTGGACGTTGTACAAATGTTGAAATGTGTTAATTGAAAAGTTGATTCAAATCTTGTTATTCCCTATCTGGTTTGCTTTAACAAGCCTATAATTATTTATAACCAGCAAGATTAATTGTTGAAATGTTATACAGAAATCAAATGTATGGAATTCACGATAGCCTTTCATCTTTGGCTGGATTTTTTCGGCAACCAATCAGAGGCTTGCATGGAAAAATTAGCCGATGACAGATTAGCCAATCAGCTGATGGATGAACCCGACCAACAATTGTAATTACCAGATTCAATGTCCAGTTGGATAATGTCTCAAGACTGTTCTCTATATCTAGGATATTGACACAGGTAGAGGTTGACCCACAATCCGCAGAGTTCAGCGCACCTTTGACCTCATCAGAAACCTTGAATAAAACAACTATTTGCGCAGCCGATGATTTGATTTAATGTTTTATTATCTTACTTTTTCCAAATGAACCCATAGAATGATTTCATCAAGTGTTACAACGGCCATACTTTCAAACAGAGGAGAATTGAATAGACCTTCAAGATTTGAGCTACCTAGACATAAAATTAATTTTATTGTTATTAAAGGGAGTGTTCGCGAAAAATGAAAGGGGGTATAGGCTTAATGCGATAAAAAAGCGCTTTTGATCGCTACTAATCTTAGTTCTATCTGTTGCGTCTATAAGGAGAAAATTGTTAAAAACGACTAATACCGAAGAACGTAGTGTCCTTACAAATTCAGAAAGATGCAACATTCAACTCGGATCGTAAACAAATCAATTTAATATCAAACAAATCATTGAAATATTAAAATCTTTCGACATCGATTATTTTTCGACGCATTCGAATATAGTTAATGTTTCATAATAGTTGTTATTTGTTTATATGCAATGCATTTAAAACGACGTTTTTTTCCGCTAGGTGTCTCTGTCACGTGAAATCATTCAAACCATCGAGAGCAGAGACACCTGGCGGCCAACTATTTCGGCGTTTTAAGTGCATAACAAATAAAAAATATTACGAAATATTAACTATACAGAAATGCGTCGAAAAATAATCGATGACTGTAGGTTGTAATATCTGAATGATTTGTTTGAAATTAAATGGATTTTTTTACGATCCGAGTCATGTGTTGCAACTTTCTCAATTTGTATGGACGTTACGTTCTTCAGTATAAGTCGTTTTTAACAATTTTCTCCTTACAGACGCAACAGTTAGAAGTAAGATTAGTAGCGATCAAAAGCGCTTTTTTATCGCATTATGCCTATACCCCCTTTCATTTTTCGCGAACACTCCCTTTAAGATATTTTTAAGTGACCTCTGTTTATCCTTCTAGAGGGTGGGGGTCCATTGACAAATACCTCTTGTAAAAATCATAAAGTGACAAATTTGAGATGCCGGTTACCTTCTCCACGGAGATTAAAGAGCCAGGCAATCTCATCAAGCTCTGTTAATATCATCCCAAACCTTTTCTCCTCTCCCAGTTTAGTTCTCAACCTCTCCACCTACTCATGAAAATTTTTTCTCTATTTGCCACGAACTCTGATTTACTAATCCCTATATCTTTGGATTTCAAAGTCGTAAACCTTTGACATTTCAAACTATGACTTTTGTTAGATCAAAAAATATAAGTTTGAAATATCAAAGGTTTACGGCATTGGTTTCGAAAGATATAGGGATTAGAAATCAGAGTTTGTGGCAAATACTCAATTCCTTTAATTAGTTTTGTGAATCAGGCATTACCATCTTTTCATGGAGTATCATTTCAAATTAATCTTAATTCTTTAAAGGTAATTTAAGTTTTAATATCATATTCTTATAATATAGTTTATTTGTTTATCTAAAACCATGCTTGTTCAGTTATCTACGTTTGCTTTATAACTAATGCATAATGGCTCACTTTACCAATTCAATCAAGGAAGGTTTATGGATAGAAAGGAATAAAACAAATTTCTATTAAAAATTTACAATTTTTTAAAATCCACGAAAAAAAATCGATAAATCCGCGAACATTTTTGTGTTATTCTTTGATAGTTTAAGAAAAGAAAATGCCGCAGGTAGAGCAACAGTTAGAAGTTGAAATCGAAAATGGGCGCGAAGCATCCTTGAAGCCTAGTTTGTTACATACCTTGGAGGTCCATGATTCTCCAGCCCACAACACATCATGAACCACAATTTCCTGAAGAAAGCTTTGGGTCAACTTCCATGGTATAGTTCCGAAACAACAGCTTAATGGAGTTTTGAGTTTTTAAGGGTATAAACTTAACAAACAATCAAAATGATATATCCATGGAAATAGTATCAAAGTATAGTATGACAAATTACCGCCCCCCCCCCCCCCTCCATTTTGAATAATCTACAAAGTTGTGATGTTGTTTTTGTTTTCTTGTTATAGTGTGGCCACCATAGATAAATATAGATTGCGCATAAGACGACATGTTTTATCTTGAAAGATATAAATGTACTGAGATGTTTTAAAGATATTTCTATTATATAGATAAACTAGGTCAGTTGTGAACATTGGCTGTTCTTATGTCATTGAGTACTTGTGGTGTACATGAGTCATGGAACAACTAGACAGGAAGCAGAGTTGACGCGTACGGGCGTCTGATAAGCCGGTACGCGTCGTTTGAAAATGCTCAATGCCGGAACCTTTTTGTACAAGATGCACAGTGGGCGTACAGTGGGGCGCTATCTCAATCTTTTTTGCAAATTAGAAACTAAGTTTGTGCAGCGCCCTTAGCTAATATCATAAAGCTAAAAAACCCAGAATAAGAATAAAAAGAAAATTTTCGATTTTGTAAAATTATAATTAAAAACCTTTATTAACTAAACTCAAGTATATGTACTCGGTTACTCGAGTGTCCCAACAAATATTGAATTAGGAATCTTCATTTGATTTACAATGACCTATCTGAGGTTATTTTTCCTTTTAAAAGCTAAGAATTCAAAATAATTCATCTTTTATGTATCTTCAAAAATAGAAAGTTTCCTATATCTTTGTTTATACAAATTGAAAACTGAAATAAGTGGAAATGTGTGAAAATTGCATACAAAATTACCACATTTTGGAAAGCCCAAGACTAATTTTCTTTATTTAATCTTCTGTCTGTTTATCATTTACGTATAATTCCCATGTTTGTTTGGATATTTGGACATCTGAAAGTAAATTGATTGACAACTGTTTGAGTCATTTTCTGAAAAAAAAAACAATTTTTTCATGCAATTTTCAAAATTTAAGGGAGGTTTCTGCATATTTACAAATGTCCACAATTTCTTTGAAATTTATCCAATTATTTTTAGTGTGTTTGTCAGCTGGCATGCTTTAGAGCAAATTTAAAACAAATATTACAAGATAGGTGAATGTCAACACTTTTAATAACAAAACCACTGATATATTCTACAATATCACAATCATATTTATCAAAATCAATGTTTATATCATCTAGGATTATCTTATGTCTTAACGTGAGCCCTAATGAATAGTGAAAATTATTTTTTTCGTGAATTATTTTAATAAAACCACTGTAATTCATAAATTTTAAGACAAAACACAACGCGATAGTTGGTCGAAGTCACTATAAATAAACCCACTGTGAACAGTTGATTTTGCAGAAATAGTGTGCGCAACATCTATGATAACCCTAATTCCTACAGGAAGATTGATTGATTATCTTAATTTGTACACGTATATACAGCTTTCTGATTAGTAAATCTGAGCCAGGCTACTTAGACAGGGCGGACCGCGCCGACAATTCATCCTATAGTTGATCCATGACATGAGTTCTGTAGAGAGAAATTTAAGTTAGTTTAGTACTTCTCATGTCCTTCTTCAGTTCTCGTCAATATGATATGTTGCTCAGTGAAATATTGTTGTTCAAATAGTTCCATTCCCGGAGTTCGCGGACTGTACAATTCTTGGTGATTTTGCGTACATAAGCCATCTATGTTTATTTATTTATCTATGGTGGCCACAAATCAAGGTAAGGTTCACACAATTGTAGAATTTAACAAAGATAAGTATTGATGGACCTGTTTTCATTAGGGTATTTGCTTGTTTGTATGAATTACAACATTAAACATAATGTAATTTAATTTCATATATTTTGATGTTAGGATCAAGCATAAATAGTTGATTTATTAGATTCAAACTATGCGATCTATACAGCAATTGGGATTGAACCAATGCCTTTAGCACCATAGCATATTTAGCAATGTATCTTAAGGTTTCCTAGAAATAGGATAAGATAGATAAATGTTTCTTAACTAACCTTAGCAGCTGGAGGAGGCCTTCCATTTTCAGCTGTCCAGATATTATCAATAAGGTTCTTGGATTTCATCAACTGTATATCTACGACCAGTTTTTTAAAGGTACTGTAAGCGTTTTTTCTTTATAACTGAAGCTAACAGCAAGTGCTTTTTATTGCTAAAATGCTAAAATGTAAAGGGCTACAGAAAAGCATAAGTAAGTTAGAGCGGTTAAGGTATTACGACTCTTCAAAGAAGTCTCTTTCTTAAAAATTGATGAGACTATTTATAAGGAGGCTGAATCTGCGTGACCCTTAAAGTCTTTGTATATTCGTCGAGTACAGAAAGTATGTGTGCGTAAACTTATAGAAAGCTGAGCCCGAAATTTATAAGAGTATCGTTGAACAAAACTCCCGAATTCCCTTTTTGGGGTCTTAACATTTGTGTAGATTTTTATTTGAGATTCAAAAAAATGGAGATTATGAATAAACTAGATAAAATAATATTTCAAAACAAAAATATTGATATTCACAAAACTGAACAATTGAAACCCGGGTTTTCAAACTGGTTTTCACCATGATACCCTGTCATAAGTTTTGGGCTCTGCTTGTATTTCTATGTGAGCTGTATTGAGTTCAGACTTCACACAGCGCACACTGTAGTGTACACATCACACACCTGAATACAAGGCTAGTGTGTTTCGATAAGTTTAAAGACACATATCTCTGTATTCGGCAATGACACAATGGTTCTAAGGGTACCGTTGTAAATTGGTCATTGTCCTTTTTGCATGGAGGGTCACTTGAAATTACGCGCACAGTCCCTTTAATTGTAATTACTGCGCATTAAAGAAAGAAAGTGTGTGTCTCCTCACTGGTCCTGAAGTTGACTCCAGGTGACCATAAAAAAGCAACACAGATATATATGTAAAAACGAATACCAGATTTCTATATTGGCCTTCACTTTTTTAAAATAAAAGCAGTAATTTCTAATGTAAACTAGAATTTTTACTAAAGACACATAGTCAATATTATATTACCTTCTTTTTTCAAAACGTTCTCCCAATCCAACCATTCTCCAGCCCCAGCTAACACTGGATCCGCTCCAACTACAATACTCTAAACAAAGGTACGGTAATGCAGGGGATATTAGTTCCAAAACTGACACTTGCCCCATTTCTAACATGGGTGTTAGAAATGGGGCAAATCTGCAAAGTTATCTTTTTCAAGAGTATATATCTTTAAATCCAAGTCGAGTTGAACAAAATTACACCATACACTTATAAAAAAAATGGCTAAACTATATATTGAAACAATAAAAGTCAATTTTAAACTAATAATAAGGTGTGAGAATCAGTTTTTGATGATTCTTGATTTCATTTTCGAACATTATTTTGAAACAATTACCGGATTTCAGCTCATGTCGCGTTTTCGGAACATATATATCCTGGTTTTGATACAATTACCAGATTTCAGCTAATGTCGCGTTTTCGGAACATATCCTGGTTTTGAGACAATTACCGGAATTCATATCAGTGTCAATTTTCCAGTATTTACACACTTATGAAAAAAACAAGGTTTTTTACATAAGGTATAATATAAACAAAATAAAAAATAAAAACAAACTGTTTTTTATAGTTTAAAAATCATTACAGCATTGAGAAATCAAAATAATAATATCATTTGTTCTTACAATATAGATTTAACTAGAAATGCGGGAAACTGTTTCTCTAAAATGCTTGAAAATTAATCATCCATATTCTCTAATTTAACAGATAAAATGTGGAAACTTAGATTCTAGAAATAATTCAGAAGTTAATTCAGTCTTCATAAGATAATTTTTGTTTTCTGTGATTTATTTTGTAAGTTATGAAAGTGAGTTTTGTTTTGAATTGAGGATTATACTCAAAAACGTGAAAGAGGTTTTTTTCTCGAAAACGCGACAATGTTTCAAATTCAGGATATGTTCGAAAAATAAAAAACCGAACATATGTCTTGAAAACGGTCGAGAGATTTAATATTAAAAAGAACTCCTATAATAATTTTGATTTAAATAAAAAGTTTAAAATTGGGAATTGTTGTCCTCGTCATGTTTATGTTGGTTATAGTTTTTATTATCGACTTTTACTCTGTATATATGGCCGGGATCCCAAAAACCCAGTCTTTCAATTTGTGCCCATTTCTAACACTCAGTGTTAGAAATGGGCCAAGTGTTAGTTTTGGAACTAATGCAGCACACAATATACTCAGCTTTTGGGGGCTTACCAATTTACAATGGTTGTTTGTAAACAAACCGAAACTGGACTTGAAGCAGGTAAATTAATTCGGGTTTAAGCTTTAAAATCTCAGCTCAGGAACTTTTAAGGTTTAAAAGTCTATAAATGTGTTCAATGATATAGATGATTCTACCTTATTGGCACCACTGAAGACGTCTGAAAGCCAGACCTGTATTTCTGGAACACCTTCATCCTCAAGAAAATTTTTTTATATAAAAAATTAACCATTTATTCCAGCTGATTAATAGTTTAAAATATCAAAGGTCTGTGAGTCAGGTTTATTGCAAAGATATAAATTATAAAGACTATAAAGTTAGAGTTTGTGGTAAGTGTTCATTGTTCAGTTCCTTTTTGCTAAATCTGTTGTAGGGTCAGTCCTTTTGGACACAGCCACTTTTTCCTAAAGTCAGTAGGCACCATCTTCGATTTTTTTCAAACTTTAAATATTAAAAGACATTGTAAGACATTTAGATCTTTTAAGATTTAAAATCTGAAAAAAATTGATTCTTTGTCACGGACTCGAATTTTCTAAACTGCGACTGCATATCTATACAGACCTTAGATATTTCAACGTAAAAAGTCTGTTTGAATATAAAATTCAAGTTTGAAATATCAAAGATTTATACCATCAGGTTGGAAAGATATATGAATCCAGAAAAATTTGAGTTTTTGTCAAATACTTAAAAATATTTCGGATAGTTAAATAAATCAGAATTTCGGATTTTTTATTGATTTTGAAGCAAAAAAGTTTTTTACTATTTACCATTTTCATTAGATACCAGTTGCAATCTAGTTGATCTGCTGCTTGTACAAAATATCTTCCATCCGTCCACAGTCTTGCTGAAACAAGTTGGTTCTTCATAAAGTGAATAAAGTTATAATAGATAGAGTAGTGGTGTATTGTAGATCCCAGTATGGGCAGTAATCCCAATATGCAGTAATTCCAAAATGCATTAATCCTAAGAATCCTTACCTTCTGTAAGGGTAACAGCAGCCTGACCATTACTGCCTGAAAACCCTGAAATCCATTCAAGCCTCATTTCTTCATCTGATAATAAAATTGAAAAATAAAATGGTTCTGTTGTTCAGAAAATTCGTTTTCGTATTCATATTTCATATATCTATGTTCTTCAAAACTGGTCTTACATACAGTAATACCTAAAACCAAGAATGCGACTTTTTCATTTTATTGATCAGTCTGACTATTTGCACGATTTTTTCGGACAAATTTTGGAAAAACGGTGGTCTTTTTTACTAAAATGAACGATTTTTTCGAATGAACTTCTGAAAAAATTCCAGAACGAATTATTTTACTAAACAAACGATTTCCTTGACAAATGATTTAATGGAGCAATTGTTCAGTTAAGAAATGAACGATAATTCTGAAAACGAACGAATGAATTGAAAAAAATATGAATACATCCTATCTCCAGTCATCAATATATTACCCAGGGGAACTATGTAAGCATCCAGGTTTGACATGATCATCTCCTCCCTCAACTCCTTCAACCGATCCGTGGTGTTCACCCTGAGCAACATCATTAGCTTTAGCATGAAGCCGTTCCTTGTGTTAACAAGCGTCGTCTTAATGACCTTGGGGGACAATAGTTTGGCCGCTAGATGTCTCACATAAGATTCTTTTTTAATAGATATAGGGTTACCTACAAAGGATGAGACTATGGAATTTGTTAAGTCAGTTTTCTTGCATTCAGGGTTCCTTGTCGGCCAAAACTGGAGTATATCTGTGGTTAATTACTCCATAAACCATCGAAATACAAAATTGAATGCAGAAACCAAAATTCAATCTTTAAATCGTCATATTTTAGAGTTTTGGGTCGTCTTGGTTGAATCAAAAACCATTAAATAAAGAGTAATGAACTTTATATCTATTGAATATTCTAAAGTATATAATTCGACATAAATAGAAAATACGAATATGATGGTTCGAGTGGATCTGAATCTGTTCTGATCACCCAAAGTACTCCCAAAATAAACTGTAGAATAGGTAGAAGACATTTAATCAATCTAATTGTTTTTGTTGTTATTATAAAGCAAATAAATTTACCAGCTTCATAATCAATCTATTAAGTTAAACGGTTGTGTCTACACTGGACAATTGTTGTGTTTCATGCTAAAAGACGATTTGAAATCAGTCCATGAGTCTAGCACTCGTCTTCCTTTTCTGAAGTTGTCTGGGTCCCACTGTATCCTTTTTTTACCTGTTAACGGGAGGAATATCATTTGGACCACAGTTAGTTGTAATATCCCGAGCTGACCTGGGACAATTAATATTATGTTTTATGATCTCCCTGTTGGAACGTTTGTCTACAGTTGTCGGCGATTATATTCATACAATATTCATTCCTATCAAGCATTCTTCAAATTATCAATTTATAAGTAAACAAATAGAAGCTGTTAATTGTTTACATGTTAATGTGTCTCTGTTGTTTAAAAGCTTGCTAGAAATCAAAATTAAAATAGAAAGTCGTCTTCATTGTATTGATATATACGACGAGGAATTGTATCTTTAATTCTCTCCTTATTTTCATATAAAGAGGGTATCAGTTGTTGTGTGATTGTAAATGCCTTCTTCATGAGATTTTATCAAAGTTTTATAGGAGTCAATTTTAAATAAGATCAGGTTCAATTTCAAAGTGATATTTGACGCTAATTTTGTAATTCTAAAAGAAAGGCAAAATTCGATCAGTTTGATAAGAAAGTCGTCAAATTTCAAAATCAGGAAAAAATAAAAGATGAAGAAAGTCATGAAATGCAATCTCTTCTGTTACATCAACCTTTATAATTTGCATTCTTTTTTAAATTTAGTTTCTAATCAGGATTCAGCATAGAAAATATGGCATTCCGTTGAAATCAGTTTTGGCATCAGATTTTCTAAAATGAAATATATTTTTACCTGTTTAAATCTGAGTAAACTTGGTTTGAATATTGAAGTGGGAGAACGGAAGAGTATGCAGGTGTTAACTGGAACCGAATTTGATGAATTTGAGCTAGGCCGCTGAACTACCTACACCCGGTTCAAATCTAAAATCACCAATTCAAAGTTAAAGATTTGTCAGGATTCTAATTTTTGATTCAGGGTTTGAACCGGTGGAAGGTAGTTAAGCAATCTCTCCAATTCATAAAGTTCGGTCCCTGGGTAATCAAATACAGGGTAAACATCATCACTAACATCTTTACATAGGTTCAAGAATGTCCTACGGTAAAATGTCTGAAACTAAATTAAGATTCCTCTTTGTTCGTATTTTTATCAAATCTTTAGACAGTCCCGAGTTTGATATGCCACAACACCTTTACCTTTGCTTTTACCTCGACAACTTACACTTATATTTTTTTGTAATCCTAGGCATAAACATTTTAAAAATTCTACGCGCTCGTATCTACCTAAAGTTTAAAAAGAGTAATTGGCAAAATACTGCTTTTTGGTTCACAGTGGATTGTAAACTGTGTATTCGTATTACATATCGAAGAATATAATTTGGCTTGTCTGGTTTCTTAGTGTTTTATCCAACAAACGTCAATGTCTGAACCGAGTGGGCCCAAGCAGGGGCGGATACGGGATTTAAGTGAGGGGGTTGCTAGATTTATTTCGGAACAAAAACATCCAGATTAACCCTATTCCTGCTGGGGGGGGGGTCAATTTGACCCCCCCTTTAGTTTTTTTACATAACTCAAAAAGTATTGGTCTGAGGCTGTTGAAATTTTTTGACTTTTCCTACATACCCAAAGCCCTCCCTTTAGGCCTAAAACCGGGCTTTAATACTAACTGCCTGAGTCCTCAGGCACACTGCCTGAATGACTGCTTTTGCCTGTAACAAACTAAATCTTTGTTTTGACCCACTTTCACTTGTCAGATTTTGATAAAATTTAGCTTTTTGGAAAGCCTATGACATAAGGAAACGGATTGCACAAGTTTTGCGAGAAAAAAAATTGCAATTTTTTGCAAACAACCTGTCAAAGGAAATTTGCACATTTTTAGTTTTTCTTGATTAAAAATCAGGTTAATTAAAATTTTGCAAAAATTTTTGCATATTTGAAATGGCATGGTCAAGGGCTTTTCAAAAATGTATAATTTGTCATTTTTTGGACAAATTTTTTTTTGCAAACATTTTTACTATAAAACTGGATTTTGCGATAAAAAATTCAATTTTCGCAAATTTGCAATTTTTTTTGCAGATTCTAAAAGTAGAGCACAAGAGCTTTCTAATGATTTATCATTTGTCATATTTGGACATAAAACATGGGATTTAGAGGGGGGGGGTCAAATTGACCCCCCCCCCCCAGCGTATCCTGGTTTTCAAGTACCCCAGCAGGGATAGGGTTAAGGAACCAAAAAGAAAATATTTTTTTAAGATAGATATTTTTTCCTGTTTTGCACTAGGTTTTTTCCTTTAATAGAGAATCTATTCTAAAACCTCAGGGGGGTGGAAAGGTCCTTCCCCCCCCCCACTGGATCCACCCCAAGCCCAAGCTTTTTTATGTACCTCACAGGAAAGGTTTATGGCCGGTAAAAATTGATAAAAAAGTTGCCAAAATTATTTCAAATTGTGAAAATTTACAATTGAAATATTATTTTTTATTTAAGTGAAAATGGTGGCGTTGATAGCAGCATTATTACTAGAAAAAGTAGCATTATTACTAAAGAAAGCAGCATTATTACTAGAAAAAGTAGCATTATTACTAAAGAAAGCAGCATTATTACTAGAAAAAGTAGCATTATTACTAAAACAAGCAGCATTATTACTAGAAAAAGCGACGCAAAAAAGTCCTTTAATACATTACAAATTTGTATTCGGTGTTGGGACATTTGAAAGGCATTTTATAGACAGGACTTTCATAGATAGGACATTGAATAGAAAAAACCATAGATAGGACATCGAATAGAAAAAAACATAGATAGGACATTGAATAGAAAAAAACATAGATAGGACATTGAATCGAATATAAAACCATAGATAGGACATAGAATAGAAAAAAAAAACATAGATAGGACATTAAATAGAAAAAAAATCATAGATAGGACACTGCAAAGACAGGATACTTCATAGATAGGACATATCATGAATAGGATATTTTCTAGCAAACAAAATCATGCATAGGAAATTCATAGACAGAGGAGATTTTTCATAGAAAGAACATTTCATAGACGGAGAAACTTTTTTTTCAGAGATAATTTAAAATTTTGGTTAGTCAAAATGTGTCAAAATTTTATGAAATGTTATCAGTTTCAGAAGCAAGAAATTCACTTTTGTAGGGAACCCACAATCACAAATGAAAATAGTCAGTTCTCCTTCTCCAAAACAAAAATATGGATGTCTGATTTATACTTGTGAATCTGGCATGTCACTCTATCAATGAAGGGTCACATGAAATTACGTTTACAATCCATTTTAACTTTAAATTTCAAATGTTATAGAATGAATGTTAAACGTATATTTGTATTAACTTTTAGTTTAAAATATTTATAAATAACTACCTGAAGGGCTTGGCGTTGCCCGTGGAAAACATTTTTTTAGCCTTTTACACCCCCCGGCCACCCATGAGTGTCCACAAAAAAATTTCAGCCCAAAAGGTCCAGCCGCTTGGCCGGCTATACGCAACATATAAACGAATGTCTTGTTTTATTACATAGAAGAATAAAAACAATATAAATGTGATAAGACGGTTAGACCCGAACTACTGAATTTAATGATAAGCAAATATTATCTTAAACTGGTTTTAAACTTTCCCTCCGTCATCACTATTTTACAATATTCAACTTTGACGGAGAGTTTATTAAACATGATAATCTATATATAAATTTGGCTTGTCTGTCTGTTTGTTTGTATCCAATAAACGTCAAAACGGCTGAACCGATCGGGCCCAAATTTTTTGTGGGACATCTAGGAACCCCAGGGAAGGTTTATGAATCATCAAAATTTCAAATATTTGTCTCCATCAAAATTCGATCTTCATTAAATTTTTGAAAATTTTGAAAATCCACGAAATTTTTTTTGAAAATCCGCGAATTATTTTTGTTTTGTTTTACGATGTTTCAAAGAGAACATGTTCACAATTAATTTAGAAGATGGGCGCGAAGTGCCCTCTAAGGCTAGTATGTTTAAAATTTTTTCTAAAGATTAAGAAAAAAACACAAAATATCACAGTGGGGCCTATAAACTGTGGAATGGGAAGACGGCTAATAAACCGAAATTAAGATCTTAAATAGTCCAATGATTGACTGTAACATGCGTCTCCACTTTCAGTCTAGTTTAATTAGGATAATTAGGATAATTAGGATAATAAGTGTAATAAAAAGTGTGCACATGTGCACCCAATACCCATTTAATTTAAAGCTATTTCTGATAATTTTCTAGAAGTGACGACTGCAAGTTATCAATTTAGAAGTTGTATTTTATTTCAAATCTATGTAAAGAAAATATTTTTCAAAATAATGGTTTAAAAATTAAAAATTTAAACCTTTCAACTTTTCAAAATTCTTTTGTTACTGAAATATTTGCATTGTCAACAAATTTTATTTACCAAAAACTATAAACCATAATTTTCTAATCCCTACATTTCTGAAACTTGATGGTGTAAACCTTTGATATTTATAACCTAAACTATTTGATCGAACAGAAATCATAGTTTGAAATATCTAAGGTCTACGACATCGGGATGTAAGGATATAAAGATTGAAAAAAGAAACTTTGTTTTATTGACAAATTTTTTTCTCTTGAAAAATAATGACAAAACAGAAAATGTTTACAGAAAACAAAAGTTTAAAACTTGTATTCTTATCTGCTAAAAGATAACCTGGCCTCAGTCGGAATAAATGTTTACAATGAGAATCTTCTTCTTTTTAATTTCCTTGTTTTCCGCTGTAAACTGTAATCCAGAGAATAATTTAGAAAATGGGCCAATGGTGGAAATATTCTTTAAAGGAACATTGTGTCAAGTATTCAAACTTTCAGCAAACTCTAATTTTCTGATCCGTATATCTGTGTAACCTGGTGTGTCGCAGACCTCTGATTTTTCAAACTATGAATTCTGTTAGATAAAATAGTCAAAGGTTGAAATCTCAAAGGGTTACCCATCCGGTTGCAAAGATATATAAATCAGAAAATTAAATTTGCATATATGCAATTGAAATTGAAAGCAAATAGGGTAGAATTAAGAGTTGTTAATTGCAAATATTACATCAAAAGAAAAGATGGATTTGTTGAATAATAAAAACAATACAGATTGATTTTAGTCATTTAAAAGACATAACATAATGAGACCCGTAAAACTAAAACGATTTTTGTCCCCCCCTGGCCCCCCTTCCCCCCCTCCTATCAATTTTGTACATGACCTTTGATTTCAACTATATTCAAGAAAAAAATATTTATTCTGTATTATTTCAGGGTTAGGTTAGGTAAGGACAATTTTTGGGCCGAGCGCTACGCCCAGGACAGGCTATGGGGGCCGAGCGCTACAGTCAGGACAGGCTAGGGGCCGAGCGCTGCGGTCAGGACAGGCTAGGGGGCGAGCGCTACGGTCAGGAAAGGCTAGGGGGGCGAGCGATGCGGTCAGGACAGACCTGCATTTTCAACAATTTTCAACAAATTTCGTACTTATTTAGGGTTGGGTCAGGTTAGAACATTTTTTGGGTTGAGCGCTGGGGCTAGAACAGGCTATGGGGTCGAGCGCCGTGGCTAGGACAGGCTAGGTGGCCGGGCGCTGCGGCCACGTGACCAACTTTATTCATGTGGTAAATATGAGATGCATGTACAAAATTGATAGGAGGGGGAGGGGGTGTGGCCTGGGGGGTTCAAAATTCGTAATAGGAAATTACCCTGTTTACGCTGCACTATTTAAAGTCATAATTCTTGAGTCTAGTGCAGTCGTCTTCCTATTCCACAATTTTATAGTTCCGACTAAATTACCTTTGGTTTAAAATATGAAATATAAAATATGAAATATGAAATATAAAATGTGAAATATGAGATATAAAATATGAAATATGAAATGTGAAATATGAAATGTGAAATATGAAACATGAAATATGAAATATGAAATATAAAATATGAAATATAAAATATGAAATATGAAATATAAAATATAAATATGAGATATAAAATAAGAAATATGAAATATGAAATATGAAATATGAAATATGAAATGTGAAATATGAAATATGAAATATGAAATATGAGATATAAAATATGAAATATGAAATATGAAATATGAAATATGAAATATGAAATATGAAATATGAAATATGAAATACGAAATATGAAATATGAAATGACACTCTGTATATTTGTGCAGTGCTACATCAGATGACCAGCATAAACCCTGACTTTGCTACATTCAACAAACTAAAGCAGGATTATACTTCTGCTTTCAGAGAAAAACAAGGTTTAGCTTAGAAAATTTTTTGGCACAATTACAAATTTGTAATTCCTGTATCCTTGCAACCTGATGGTGTAAACCTTGGATATTTCAAACTTAGACAATTTAATCTAATTTTTTAGTTTAAAGTATTAAGGGTTGCAAAAATATATAAATTAGAAAATTATATTTTGTGGCAAAAACTCACTTCCTTTACGATGTAAACGTCTAAATTTATTTGAACTTTTTAACAAAGAGACTAAATTAAATATTCTTTTTAAGTACAAATATAAATTATGGGGTTGTTAATATTTGAGCAAATTTAGTTTTCATTCAAATTGAACATTTTTTTGTCGAAATATCATTTGTTTTTAATGAAACAAAATTTTATCAAATTATTTCCTAAAAATATTTTTTCTAACGACGTGTTATACAATTTTTTTACTTAAATTTTCTCGACAAAGAGTAAATTTCTGTCTAAAAAACTTTATAGTTAGAATCAAAATAATAGTGTTATAAATAGTTATGAAGGAAATCGAGAACGAATTTTATAAACTTTATAACACAAGCTTATCTAACACTATTACATAATGATAACATTATTACAACACTGCTATTAAGAACATGATAAAATGATTTTTCATGAAAATATATATTTAGATGTTGCTGCAGCTGATCTTCCATACTTTAAGGTACAGGGTGTTCCACTAAACATGACATTTTCCTTTAACTTTAATATCTATATTGTGACACACTGTATATCTAAAAAGGTTTATGTCAAATGTTCTCTACCTTTGTAACCTGACGAACGTTGACTCTTTGATGCTTGTAAAATTCAGGTTGCAAACATAAATACAATATTAGAGTTTGTGGCATGTGTTTATTTCTGGAGTAATAATTCGCAGTAATTCTTAAATTTTATTCAAAACTGTATCTCTGTTTAAAACTTGTAAAATGAATTTTAAATTTGGTATTATTCAGATCCTGCCAAAATATCTCGGAAGCTTTCCCCCGGGAAAATCTGAAACTTTCCTCAACTTTACCTGCTTCCAAACAATAAAGGTTAACTATGAAAACAGTGGATTAATTGTCGTCTTCCGTTTATAAAATATTATGAATTGTATAAATTACAGGGTTACCCACAAAGGTATAGACTTCAGAGACGACTGTACGGAATTCATATTATCTGTTTACCTGTGATTTTTTCCCATGAAACTATAAAACCTTCAATTAGCCTGGAGATAATCTATTTAAAGAGTTTTAAGTCTTCTTTACAGTTTTATTCTTTATGGGTAACCCTGTATAGTGTATGCTATCTTGTTTCCACTATAAAAGTTCACCCACAAAACAAGTTTTAAACCAAGGTAAACCTTCTCGTGGTTCTTCCAAGTTCCCCAATTAACCAATAGATTACTACTTTATAATATAGATATGCATCACTAAAGTACAAGATTTAAGAGAATTGCACTAAATAAACATACTTTTATAACAGGGTTTTCAAGACTATCATTAACCGTCTTTAATAGTAAAAATAGTAAAACACGACCATCCCTTGGAAATGAATGAAGCAGTCCGGGATAATATCATCATCATTAAAGTATTATCGGAGACCAATTTCCTCTGTGACTCCAACAACTATTTCATCGGAGACCCCTAGATTTTCATCGGAGACCTAAGTTTTATATCGGAGACCAAAGCTTATAATTGATTACCCTAAGCTGTTGATCAGAGATCCCAAAAAACCTCGTGATCTCCAAAAGAAATCTGGGGACTTTTATGAAAAGATATCGGTCTCCAAAGAAAATTTTGGATCTCCGACGATAAGAGGAGAAGCTTGGGGTCTTCAGTAAAAATCTAGGGGATACAATGAAAAACTTGGGTTCTCTGATGGAAATGTTGAGGTTTCCAGTTAAAATCTGGGGTCTCCGATGAGATGGCTGTGGGCGTCTCCGATAAAAGAGGGTCTCCAATAGTACTCCAATAGTACTCCAATAGTACTCCAATAGTACTCCAATAGTACTCCAATAATACTCCAATAATACTCCAATAGTACTCCAATAGTACTCCAATAGTACTCCGATAGTACTCCAATAATACTCCAATAATGCTGATTTCTACCCAAACTCAAGGAAAATATATTTTTCAGATTGAAACTGTTCCAATAGGTGGAGGAGCTGTAGAATTAACAATTGAACATGAAGACCCGGATAATATCCTTTGTCATCGTAGTTTCATTGTGTCAACAGGGTCAACTTTTCAGGTCAAATTTTACAATTTTCACTTGAATTTACCCACCCTACTACCCAGCATAACAAGTTTACCCACCCTACTACCCAGCATAACAAGTTTACCCACCCTACTACCCAGCATAACAAACTTTTAATTGTAAAGATTGATGAATTTTTCGGAGCTGGAAAAAAGACATACACAATTCAGAGCACCTTCACGTCAGTTGATACATGGGACATTTTTACAAGGGGACCAAGGTGAATGATATTTAAACATTCTAAAACAATTTCCTGTATTTTATTCATGTAACCTATTTTCCTAGCCTTTCTTTGAAAACATTTTGTTAATTTGATTTACCCATTTTTCATATTCTATATTTTCTTATTCATATCTCTTTCCCACCTACAAAGCAAACATGCTTTTACTTTTATTGCTACGAAAGAATGATATTGAAAATACAATGGCTCCCGTCGCAATATCACTTCATATTTTTCATATTCATATTTTTATTCAACTACAAAGCACGAGATAATACAAATAAAAAATTTAAAAATCACAAATTACTATGTAGTTTGGACCCGCCTAACCAGAGTAGGTTGTTTGAATTGGTTGGCCCACTGTAAACGAATGAGAATTGCAGATAAAAACAATGTGCATTCTTTACTTCTTTACATTGGAAACTTTTATTGCGAACATAATATTATTACGAAAGAAAGTGATATTGAGAATACAATGGCTCCCGTCGAAATATCACTTCTTTACATTGGAAACTTTTATTGCGAACATAACATTACTACGAAAGAAAATGATATTGAAAATACAATGGCTCCCCTCGCAATATCACTTCTTTTTATTGGAAACTTCTATTGCAAACATAATATTACTACGAAAGAAAGTGATATTGAAAATACACATGGCTCCCGTCGCAATATCACTTCTTTTCATTGGAAACTTGTATTCCATACATAATATTACTACGAAAATATAGTGATATGAAAACTGTAACAGCTACCATCGCAATATTGCTTTGTGATGATCTCGATGTTATTTCTAATTTTTATAATTTTTATCAGAGTGTTCATGTATCCAATGACTCCAGAGGACCTAACATACAACCTGGCAGCTACAGCAGCATTATTTGAACCAGTTCTAACTGAGGTTAGAGAGGAATTGAGTCTTTTCCACAAAATCTGATTTTCTAATCCTTATAAGTTTCCAATCCAAGACCTTAGATATTTCAAACAATAAATTCTATTAGATCAAATAATTTTACTATACAATAACAAAGGTTTAAACCATCAAGTTGCAAAGATATTGTTTGTGGCAAAGACTCAATTCCTTAGTTAGCATGATATGAGGATTTAAGAGTTCTGTATGGATAGTTCAATTTATATTCTTTAAGTGGCAACTATATAGATTAAACCCACAAAAAACTTATGAGGAGACTGTCAAATTTAATTACAAAAACTATTATAAAAACTCAAAAAATAAGTATGAAAAGCAGTAATATAAAAGAAGTTCCAACTTTTTGTTCTTCTTAAAGGGAGGGACCGGCTATGTAAGGTAGTTGAACTGAGTATGCAGTGTTGTGGAAAACTTTTTTCGGATTCATTTGAGACATATTAAACTTTTTAAAGATCTGTAAATCCTGAGTTTGAGCGCAAATTCGACGTTCAAAACTCCTTCTTTGGGGGTGGATTCGTTTTCAGAATTAGTTTTTTAAATTATTAAATTACGATGACATAAAATGTAAAAAAGTTATACAATAAACTGCAGACGTCATGTAAAGGAACATGTTGAGAAAATAAAATTAATCTTACCATCGAAAATAAGTAATCTTGTTCAATTATTAGTTTCTATATTTTCTCATTATTCACAAAGATTTTCTGCAGATTTTCTAGAATTATTATGATGACATTTGAAGAATTGAAGAAATCTGCGAATAAATTCAAAGAAAATAAGAAATTCAATATAATAATGAAAACGAAATATTCGATTTTAGCATTGATCTATTGACAGATTTCTTTTGAGAAAAATGTTCATAACCATCTAATTAGAATACTGTATAATTTTTACTTTATTTTTCGCTGTCGTTATTTAATAATTTAAAATTTGAATTTGAACGTCGAATTTGCGCTTAAACTCTGGATTTACAGATCTTTAAAAAGTTTAATATGTCTCAAATGAATCCGAAAGCAGTTTTCCACAAAACAGCATACTAAGTTCAAATACCTTACATAGCCGGTCACTCCCTTTAAAACCTTTTAATAAGAGGAAAGCATTGAAAGCAGATAAGATTTAAATCTTATCTACAGTTTACTTCAGTTTGACGTGAAACTCCGTAGGCATCAAAAAATATCTTTTTATTTTCAAAATACTCTCCGCTCATATTGTAATAATAAATAATAAATCTTCCCAATGCTACAGGGTGTATCTGAAAACTTCGCAAACATGAATAGGGAATTTCTTTCATCTTACGCAGGAATCAAAATGGAGGTATATTAAATACTATGCTGTCAGGACAAATCTTCTATTTCAAATTTTAATTGTTGCTCAATCTTAAAGGATTTTCTCGAAACAATAATGAACAATTTTATGGATTTTTTAAAATTTATGAAAATAAAAAAAATTTGGGGACAATTTTTTGTTATCCTGAGAATCCATAAACCTTTCCTGGCGTCTTGTCAGGTCCCACACAAAATTTGGGCCCGGATCAGTTTAACCCAAAGAGAATAGAATATATATTAGAGTGGAATTTACTAGAAAAAAGTGTAAAACGGCCATTTTGTTGTACTGTTTCCATACCGCAGGTGTACTTCACATATTTATGCTATATAACCTTTTGGGCCCTGGAACATCATTTTATAGAACATCTAAAATTAATATTAAAAGAAAACCAAATTATGAAATAGGCTGGTTTCATAATTGACCAATGATCATTTCACATAGACTCTATGCCTTTCACTTTACAAACGATGATTTTCCGGTATAACTATAAATCAAGTGATGTTTTTTATTCACCTAATTCATTATAAAGTTTATTTAAAAGCTTTAAAAAATTCGAAACTGAAATGAATAGTCTAGGGAACATACTGTAGTAATGTACTCCACTGCATATAATTTGTGAACATTTACATGATTTGTACACTTTGAACTCCCTTTCAGGCTGAAAGGGGCTGACAAAATTCATACAAAGGGATTGTCTTAATTCCACTCTAATATACATTCTATTCTCTTTGGTTTAACTAACCGGTTTGACGTTTATTGGATATAAACAAACAGACACTCAAATATGGATAAACATTTACAATGTTGAATAATCAATTTTTGCAAAGTTAAACGATGGCCCAGGGGTGTTACACATTCCAGAAGAGCTTATAGGAAATGGAGACACTTTTAATATCATGAGGTAAAAAGATAATATTAAAAATGTCTGAGTTAAAAAAAAATATTTTTGACACATATCATATTTTTCCCTAACCTTTCAAAACCCCTTTTTTCTAAAATCGGTCTTCAGCACATGCATTAAAGATTTAAGAAATCTAATTTTTTGACATTATAGAGCACTTAGCGTAATCTTTAATGACAAGTTTGTCTAATTATGACCAGGATAAAATTCTTAAATTGCTTTTGAACTAATTCTAAATTATTTAGATTAGATGGTTTAGATCCTATGATTGCCTGGGCTATGGGGGCTGCAACAGGGCATACTGGAATTGCACTCTGGAGGTACAGTCGTCGTTTTGGTGGTGTATTTTTCGACCTACACATATCCGCCATACTCCACTTCTAACCTACGCCAAATCCGCTATACTACACATCCGACCTACTTGCACGTGGTATTACAGCTGCTATATGGACTTGTGGCCGCAGCGCCCGGCCCCCTAGCCTGTCCTAGCCGCGGAGCTTGGCCCCCTAGCCTATCCTAGCCGCAGCGCTCGGCCCAGAAATTGTCTTAACCTAACCTAACCCTCAAATAATACTAAAATAAACAGCTGGTGTAGGTCCGATATTGCAGTAGGTCGGAAAGTTAGTAGGTCAGAAGTTCAGTAGGGGGGATGTTGCGTATAGACGATGTAACATTACCGTCGTTTTATAAACCAATACAATGAAGACGACTTTCAATTTAATTTTTCTATTTTTTTCACTTCTTAAAACAGCACGGATACAAGGACGGAATCTTCTCTTTGTTTACTTGTTTAAAATCAAATTCTTACTAGAAAAGTCGTCTTCACTGTATTAACATAAACGCTGACCACTGGTGCGTATCCCCACCTAATCTGTTTGGAATAGATTTTGTTAACAACAAAATTACTTGTCTAGGAATGAAACACTTTATATCTGTGAGTCTAATGCTAAGTCTGCCTACTGGCCAGTCAATGGAATCCAATGCAATCTATACAAGGACTGGATTGAGTACGGAAGACGTAACGGATATAATGTTGTTTGGGTTCCACTGAAAGAGGAAGTGAGTATGAAAGGGTGAAACTGTTTGGCACCTTTTTTTGATAAAATGCTCGAATCCACCTTGCACCAGTTCTAAAGTTTTCTAAATATTTTTTTTAAAAAATCAAGACATCTTTTAGATTAAGGTTTTTTTGTTGAAAAAATCAGCAGTAAGCCAGAATTTTTTTTATCAAAATAATTAAGATGTGTATCAAAATATCAGTATGGTATACTTAGTTCAGAAACCTTAACTTCGTCATAAATAAATTTAAGAAAATTATAAGCAAAAGACAGTTCTTTTGGAAAGATTATCAAAAAAAAAACTGTTTTTCTTACCTTTTATAAAACGATTTTTTTTAAATCGAAAAACGGTCTAAAGGATTGTATTCAGCAGTTCAATACTCATCTTCTGATGTCCATTTCATTTCAACATGTTTTGAAAAATATAAAAAAATTGACCTTCCCATATGGTCGATGAGATTAGAAACTAATTAGTAAAAATACTTATCGTTTTGTTTCAGATCAAGTCCAAGTTTGATTCTGATTTAGCCTGGGATTTAATTGAAACTTGGTATGGGATTGATTATGGATATGAGGTAATCTAGCTTAATCATATAATTCTAAGAAATGTGAAATATATATATACATATATAGTGATATAATTCTAAGAAATGTGAAATATATATATATACATATATAGTGATATAATTCTAAGAAATGTGAAATATATATATATACATATATAGTGATATAATTCTAAGAAATGTGAAATATATATATATACANTATAATATTTCTCCTATAGGTTGTACTAATGGGACTACTTGATACCATGTATAATATTTCTCCTATAGGTTGTACTAATGGGACTGCTTGATACCATGTATGATAATATGCCATGTGTGCCTACTGCAGAAGGAGATATGTGCATAGAACCAGAACACTTTGAGATGCTTTTCAGCTACATTGAGAGAGTCTCTACAACAGTAGCAAGGTTGGAGAAGAAAATTATAGATCATTTCCAGCTTTGAAAATATAAATTGATTGATTGATTTTGTTTAGAGTTTATAAACCTGCAATGCTTCAAAGAGCTGGTGTCCCATTCAATTACACATTGGTGGAGGTTCGTATCTTATGAATTAAAAGTTACATAAAAAGATATGATGGTTATACCCTTTAGGGGTAACTTTAAATAAGAGATCAAGCATTGATCCTTAAATCTTAAAGTGTGTACATTGGATATCGAGACAGAAACAAGCTTTTTGACAACAAAAATATGTTTATTTTGGCAGAAAGTTTAGATCATCTTGGCCTTGCCCTCAGGAGCATTTTTTAGCTCCTGAATTAAAAAACAGAGTTTTTAACGTTTTTACTAAATTTTTGATTAAACTTTATTTCAGGCTTTTTATGAAGCTTCTTTAAATGGTTTAACCCCAGAAGAGATGTATAGTATTCCTGAACAGGTAGTATTCAAACTGTTTAACATGAATATTGGCAAGAGTTTATAATATAACATAAAAAATATTTGACTCTCAAAAACCCCTAATTTTTAACTATTGTTGTTGATCGCTTTGAATCGTTTTTTAAAATCATAAAACTTCAAAGCATTAAAACTCGATTGTGTTAAAATTTGCTTTTATTAAACTTTGCAATAAATTTAACCTAACAAAAATAAAAAGTACAAACGCGATCCTAAAACAATCGTTAGGACCTGTTCGCTTTTGTATCGATTTTGGGTTGTTTTCTTGCATATAACTTCTACCAGGGTCAAAATTAAAAATCTAAAAACTTTTTTCCTTAAACTAAGCTAAATTTTACTCTGAAAGAAATTATAAACAAACCACTATCGACCAAAAAACAAACCACCTACAGGCAAACCTATATTGTCAACTTATTTTGGCGTGAAATTGCTAAATTTCTGCCCCAAAATAGTTGTTTGTCAAAAAGAATTTATCGTGAAAAAAATGTTTTAATTACGGCGAACAATTTTCATTTTTTTTTAAGTGGGATGGAAGATGTAGTTTTTGACATAAAAATTCCCTTAGTTTAATCCTTTAATTGGGTTTTTATTTTCCAGAATTTTGTTTCTAAAAATAAAAATGCTTTTTTTATTGTGAAGGACGGCTGGTTGTATGAGACTACAAGAGACGGAGTTCCAGAATACAGGATTGAATATTAGAAATTAAAATGATTTTTTCTTGTTTAATCTCTCATTTACAAGATGATTGAATGGAGGTGTTTTTATTTTAATTTTGACAAGCGTTATTCTCCTGTCTGAGATATCCTTGTTATTCTCCTGTCTGAGATATCCTTGTTATTCTCCTGTCTGAGATATCCTTGTTATTCTCCTGTCTGAGATATCCTTGTTTGGCAAATTTTCAAGTAAAGTATAAGCATACCTTAAAGAAAAGAACCATAACATCACAAGAGTACATTTTTTTTGTAACAAATACTGAAAATACTGTAATCAATAATATTTTTATCTTAAATACTTGACATTTGAGATCGATCATTCATAACAATCTAAAATTTTAAGCATTAAAAGTGTTGATGAGAATTATCTGATGGTTTTTAGTTTTATATTCTTCAAAAGTTACACGTCTTTGTCAAGAAAAATTCTCATAAAAAAAAAGAAAGTAGTATCGGAAAGTTCTTATTTTCTGTTATTCAAATTTAGTCCGGTGGCCATCTGCAATGTTTTTGTATGCAATGTATGGAAGACTGCAGGTAACAATTGTGACACAAAAGATTAAGTTTTTATAAAATATGGTAAATATATTTTTAGGTATTTTTGGGGAGCTCGTGGATTTAATTAATTGCGGAGAAACCTCAGTCAATGACAACTACAGGTAACTTGTTGAAAGAGATTGCGAAAATTTGCATTTTATTTAAAGGAATTGATTAAATATCTTTATATTTCAAACTTTGACAATTTGGTCTAGCTAAATTGAACTTACTTGTATTAATATGTTTTCTAGATTGAACCTGTATAAACCTGTTTTATAGATTGAACCTAAATATATCTTAATTCTAGATTGAACCTGTATAAACCTGTATTCTAGATTGAACCTGTATAAACCTGTTTCATAGATTGAACCTGAATAAACCTTAATTCTAGATTAAACCTTAATAAACCTGTATTCTAGATTGAATCTGTATAAGCCTGTATTCTAAATTAGACCTGTATAAAGCTGTATTCTAGATTAAACCTTGACAAACCTGTATTCTAGATTGAACATGTATAAACCTATATTCTGGATTAAACCTGTACAACTACCTGTATTCTAGATTGAACCTGTATAAACCTGTATTCTAGATTAAACCTGTATAAACCTGTATGAACCTGTAAACACCTGTATTCTAGATTAAACCTGTATAAACCTGCAAGTTAAAGACCTGATCTATGTAAGAATGCTGATCCTTACAATCCAAATTGTCAAATACTCGGAAGGTAATTATATAACAGACCAAACCAAGCCTCCTTCAAAGCTCACTTTCATTAATTTATTTGAAAAACAATTTGAAAAAAAACATTGAAAAAAAAAAATTTCCATCTTGAGAAAAAAGGAATTTTTTTAGCCTATGTAACCCCCCGGGTACCCACGGGTCCATCAACAAATTTCAGCAATTTCGGTCCAGCCGTTTGGCCGGCTATAGCTGACATCTATATATAAATTTGGCTTGTCTGTTTGTTTGTTTGTTTGTTTGTTTGTATCCAATAAACGTCAAAACGGCTGAACCGATCGGGCCCAAATTTTTTGTGGGACATCTAGGGAGCCCAGGGAAGGTTTATGAATCATCAAAATTTCAAATATTTGTCTCTATCAAAATTCGATCGTCATTAAATTTTTTAAAATTTTGAAAATCCGCGAAATTTTTTGTAAAAATCCGCAAATTATTTTTGTTTAGTTTTACGATGTACACAAAGAGAACATGTTTACAATTAATTTAGAAGATGGGTGCGAAGCGCCCTCTAAGGCTAGAAAGAAGGGCGCGAAGCGCCTTGAATTTCTAGTATAATATATATGAGCAAAGAGCTTTATTTTAAAGAAGATATAAATTATATTGATAAAAGCTAAACAATTTTTATTTAATTTTCAGATATAAACTACGACTGGATTCCCAACCCGGTCAACTTCCCAGGAAACCAAATATCTTATATTTTAATAGGGATTTTTCACTATGTATGTCCCACGAAACATGACAGTTGGTGAATAGTTTTAAATGTCTTCTTCCTGTTTTAGATATTAAAGACTTTTCGCAGTTTATTTCGTTAAAAAATCTTTTACTCAAATTAATTTTACTTTTAAATAAATTTTTCTAAAATATGACTGTCATGTGATGTTTTTCATTATTCTCTTTAGTATCAAATAACTTGACAATATTTGGAAGAAGATATTTTATTCTATTCACCAACTGTCATGTTTCGTGGGACACCCTGTATTTAACATCACTTATAAATTATCCCATTCACGGAAAGAAAGCAAAGAAAGACCCTAAGCACCAAAATGATAAACCCTAGTTACTGCATACAATTCCAATAATAACCAGCACAGACATTGGTCTGCAGGGGGGGGCTCAGTGCCCGTTGGGGCCTGAAAATTTATTGATTTTACGAATCCATGGGGTTGGTGGGAAATTGATTTGTACTGCTCTTTTAACATTTTTAATTAGATGAGCTTTAGGAATATATCACTGAGACGAAGATAGATTACTTTATGCTCTTATGTCCATGAATTGTCATGACTTCCAATGATTTCCAAAATCATTTATACACTTGAAACCTTGCTTGTAACGTTAGAAAGTTACTTCAACTTTATAGTTAGTACATTACACATTACATATTGCACATTGCACAAACTCTCCCATATATTTGGTTGTATTCAGATATAATTATGTGGAGCCTAGTCCTCATATGTTTGAGAACTGTCCAAGCAAAGCTCCGAACTATTTGGCTCCAACTAATTGTTAGAAGAATAAGCTATACAGGGTATACCCACAAAGAATGAGACTGTATAAATGTCGATCTAAAACGCTTTAAACTCATCAATAGATTTTTTCTAAAATCTTTACTTTTGATGATATAATAGATAATTTAGCAAAGAAATAAAGAAGTCAATGGTTTCAATTTAACCGAAAACGTCTGCAGAAGAAAGACTTGATAGATTTCGTACAGTCGTCTCTGAAGAATCATTCTTTGTGGTTAACCCTGTATCTTTTAAAACAAATTATTAAAGGAATTGAGTCTTTGCAACAATTCCTAATTTTCTAATAGCTATATATCTACAACCAAATTATGGAAACTTTTGATATTTTAAACTTTGATTGTTTTATATAACAGAAGTCATAGTTTGAAATATCTAAGCTTTAAAACATTGGGTTGTTAAGATATAGGGATTTAAAAATCAGAGTTTGTGGCAAACACTCAATTCCTTTATAACTAAGTGCTTACAGACGAAACTGTTTAGAATTGATTCAGTTTTTTATATCTTACAAATGGTTTCCTTAAGCTGTGTATACTTTGTTCGTTCCTTTTTGTCAACTTAATTAATTAATCAAATTATGAAACACCTTTAAAAGAGAAAAATCGACTGAATGATCATTGAGATCAGCTTATTTTAACTAAATTTAAGTGGTTATTTAAAGTCACATCCTATAAGTGTAACGGCCTGGACAATATATGTCAAATTATTAATTGAATAACAATAAAACTTTAACAATATGATGCTTAACCAATTATATTATGCATATGTTACATATTCTCCAGGTTACATGTTCTCCAGGTAGATCCTAGTCTACTGGAGGATCTGGATAGAGTCAACGAGAAAACTGTGTTTAAAGCTCTAACTAAATTTAAATCAGAAAAAAAGTGATCCAAATTTTTCTTTTATTTCGGATTGTCTATCAAATTCGTGTGATGATCTAAGGGGCGAATACAAGGGGTGGCGGGGGGACATTCGCCCCCCCCCTGAGATTTTGAGGCAAAAAATGTTCCCAATTTGATAAATGTTATTGTTAACGATAAATTTAGAATTAGAAAGTAAGAAACTAGACTTAAGTTATAATATTGTTCATATCTAGTAATGTTCCTTAATCACTACTCATTTATCAAAATTGTAATATTGTTCCTAATTTTCATGCATTGAAGTAAAACCAGTAATTTCTTTTTGTTTTTAAATTGCTAATGTTCCTATTATAGTTCCTGTTCCTGTGTCCGACCCACCTTAAATCCCTGTCCTAACCCTATTTTTTGTTCCTAATTCCTGAACAATCTGTTTATTGTTCCTAAATCCCTGTCCGAATCCTTCAATTTTGTTCCTAATTCCTGAACAATCTTTTAATTGTTCCTAAATTCCTGTCCTAATCATTTATTTTTGTTCCTAATTCCTGAACAATCTTTTAATTGTTCCTAAATTCCTGTCCTAATCCTTTATTTTTGTTCCTAATTCCTGAACAATCTTTTAACTGTTCCTAAATTCCTGTTCTAATCCTTTAATTTTGTTCCTAAAATTTAAAAATCTAGTTTTTTAGTCTTTAGTCATTAATTTTGACTCTTTTTGAGTCATTAAAGTCAAAAAAAAAATTTTTTGTTCCTAATTATTCATTTTTTTGTTCCTAAAAATCTTGCCCCCCCCCCTCACTTAAATCCTGTATCCGCCCCTGGATGATCTCAATAAAAATGTGACATTACTATTTAAATGGTTAAGTGTTTGACATGGTTTCTTGGGCTAAACTATTTCCTGAACTTTTGAAAAGAAAAATATCACCTATGATATTAAGATGCTTAATACATATGTACTCAAATCAATGAGAGATGGGGGAATATTATTTCACAACCTTTTAATGTGAAAAATGGTGTACGCCAGGGTGAAGTATCTTCGCCTTTATTGTTTTGTGTTTATATTAATGATCTCATTGTTCAATCAACTTAGAAATCTGAAAGTTGGTTGTCAACTAAATTTTGTATACTTAGCAATCTGGGTTGATGCGGATGACAATAAATTATTATCTCCAAACCGTTCTGGACTTCAGTAAAGGACTAATTTGTGAAAAATCTGCTAGTCTTCATCAGTTAAAGTTTAGCACAAATGTAGATGTTTCCAAATCAAAAACAAAATGTATAGTTTTCAGTATCCCTGTCATGAATACTGATAATATTTGCCCGATACTTTTAAATAATTTACCCTTTTTACCCTATGTAAGTGAAATTAAACATCTTGGCAACACACTACACTCTAGTGGTTCTATGTCACAAGATGTTAGCTGTAAACATACTAAATTTATTTCTAAGTTACATTCTCTTTTTACTATGCTATGATTGTACATATGCTTTATATACTTTATGATTTCTATGGCTCAAATCTCTGGAATTGAAATATAGTAGGGATGTTCAAAAACTTCTGAATAATTACAAAATAATTCATAAATATTTATCTATTTAATATTATAAAATACATAAACAATATACAGAAATATTCGGGTGCTCACTGCCCTTCCCTTCCCTCCCCCTCCCTACTCTCCTACTCCTTGCCCTTCCCTCCCCTCCCCCCTAGTCCTACTCCTTGCCCTTCCCTTACATTCCCTCCCCCCCTGCCCCTAAGGGAACATTGCAATTCGCATTTTATTTGATCTACCATGAGAAACCCATAGATATTTCATTGAACCCATTTCTAATGTTCCTCTCATATAAAAACAGTTTTGTGCACGATCGTTTTGTACAATTTGTTACCAGTTTATATCAAATTGTCAAGCTATGCATATTCGACTTTTAGTAGGTCTAAGTAAACAGGATTTAAGAACTGTTTTGTGTAAAATCTTGAATCTATTGCACAAGATTAATATATGTGTACAATCTAGAAATCTAAATAATTTTGTGTAAGACAAAATATGATATACAATCAGATTCCTTTAGAACAAGAATGGAAATTAGCCATTCTTTATAAATTACTGTCCCCTAGCACCTGAGAGGGGGGGGGCGCCCCCCCCTGCAGAATGAAAAGAAAGAAAGAATGGCGAAAATCCTAGTATCACGTGAATAAGAAAACCAATAGAGTTATTGTAGAAATTGTATTATACTATAGTTAGTTTTAAAAAGAATATTTTTATCTTTCTCAATTCTCAAGGCTAATTGACTTACAGAAAATCAAATAATTTTCAAGAAACTTTTTGTATAAAATGATGTTCCAGGGCCCAAAAGGTTATATGGCACAAATATGTGAAGTACACCTGCAGTATGGAAACAGTACAACAAAATGGCCGTTTTACACTTTTTTCTAGTTAATTCCTCTCTATATATATATTCTATTCTCTATGGGTAAAATATTCCAAGTTTGAAATATCAAATGTTTACACCACTCGGTGCAAAGATTTAGGGTGTCCCACGAAACATGACATTTAATAAACTGCAGTTATTTAATTAGTTAAACAAATCTTTTGCTTGATTATATTTTACTTTGAAATCAATTTTAATATAACATGACTCCCATACAATAAATGTATTGCTCTTTGGTATCAAACAACTGAGCAAATAATGGAAAAAGACATTCTTAACTATATTCACCAACTGTCATGTTTCGTGGGACTCCCTGTACAATCAAACGATCTATTTCACCTTAAACTCAGGTCGGGGGGCTGAATTTATAATTTTCTAATTGGTTGTAAAGTGAAGCGGCAGGGTACCATCGATTTAAGAAAAAAATTATTAATTCTGAACAGTTTAAATGAAAAACCCTGTACCATTAATTTGAATTTTCTCGAAGAAAAGAAGACATTTAACAAAAGTGTTTTAGTCTAGCCTCGAAGGAAAGCCGAAGATTAAAAGCTTTAGACCCAAATGTCTGTTTATTTTGAATTAACGACATCTCGCGGATTTCTCTCAACTTTCTAGATCGATTTTCTCGTTCCCCCTAGCGGCTACTCTCGGTAACAAAAATCCGAATCAGTTGTGTGTTTATAGCCTGGTGGCTACAGCAGACAGATGAAATGAAAACAAGCTGTTTCCCCCCCCCGTACCTTGATCCAATAAGGCAAACCATTCAAATTTACGGAAAATCAATTTTACTAGTTTCTACTTTATGAAGAGTTACCTTTTTTAACCCAAACAAGGTGTAAAACATTATAATTGGGTTAAGAGGAAAAATGGATGCTGTATATATATAGATATAAAATCAGTATGTGATTTTACTGAATTTTTGAAGTTCTACAGTGATGTAATTAAGAAGCTAGGAATCTTGAAGCAATTGTGAGTATCTTTTGTATAATCGATGCCGTTCAAGAACTAATTATCAGAATACTGGTGAAAGGGGAATGGAAGAAAGTGTAAGATGGGGGGGGGGGGGGGGGGGGGCTGTAGAGGGATTTCTTCGTACAATTTTGATAACCCATACTTATAAAAATCGAAAAATGCACCCCTTTAAATATATTACAGACTAACATTTTATTGCGTCATCGCCTCTAAAAAATTGGTTGTTTTGGAATAATTGTCTTTGTTTCTACGGGTCAAATCTTTCTAAATCCACGAAGCATACTTGACCGCGTCCTCAATTGTCCTTAATTCGTCTTCACTCCTTTCTTGATCTCAATCGTCTTGACATTGGCCTTACTTGGCTTTACATGTGCACCTCAATTTGTCTTGACAATTGTCTTTACTTGACCTTACCTGTGTCCTCAATTTGTCTTTACATTGTCTCTAATTGACTTTACATTTGGCCTCAATTTGTCTTGACATTGTCATTTCTTATCTTTTGTGTCCTTGCAATTTGTCTTGACATTGTCTTCACTTTACTTTACGTGTATCATCAATCCGTCTTTACATTGTCTTTATACTTGACTTTACATGTGTCCTCAACTTGTCTTGACATTTCTTTACTTGACTTTACATGTGTCCTCAATTTGTCTTGACATTTCTTTATTTGACTTTACATTTGTCCTCAATTCGTCTTGACATTGTTTTTATCTGACTTTACATTTGTCCTTAATTCGCGTCTTGACATTGTTTTTATTTCACTTTACATTTGTCCTCAATTCGTCTTGACATTGTTTTTATTTGACTTTACATTTGGCCTCAATTTGTCTTGACATTGTTTTTATTTGACTGTACATTTGTCCTCAATTCGGCTTGACATTGTTTTTATTTGACTTTAAATTTATCCTCAATTCATCTTGACGTTTTTTTTTAGTTTGGCTTTCATTTGTCTTTAATTCATCTTAACACCTTCCTCTCTGTACGCTTCTCAAATTGGACTATTTCTAATCTTCAAAGCCTAGAAACGTATATAGTTAACTAAAAGAACTCAAGTAATAGTAAATACTACAACCGTAACCTCATCCTAACTACACATAACTCCGTCCTAATTACACAAATTACCCGTCTTAACTACACAGTAACCCGTCTTTATTACACCATTACCCTGTCGTATAATTACACCCTTACCCATATCTTTAACCTGTCCTAACAAAGCCTTACCCCGTACGCCATTAGCCTGTCCTAACAAACATTACTCCATCCTATTTCACTCATAGCCAACGTCATACTCCTAACTACATCTTTGACTCATTCTTTCTATAACTTCACTTTAACTACTTTTAAATCTTGCCATTGTCCTATTTTCTTTGCCCCTCAAGTGCCGTATCTTTGCCGTACACAGTTAATTGTTCAACGGTAATTTCCTAGTATTTGGGTCCGTCCTAGTATACGATTTTTGGACCCTGCCCCCTCCCCCCTCCTATCAATTTTGTACATGACCTCTTATTTTTCAGCAAAAATATTATTATTTCTTTTTTATTANTTAGGACACTTTCTGGGCCGAGCGCTGCGGCTAGGACAGGCTAGGGGGCCGACCGCTGCGGCCACGGGTTATGGTTAGGTTAAGACATTTTCTGTAAAATCCATGTATAAAATTAATGAAGGGGGGGGCGGGGGTTGTCCAAAACTCGTATACTAGGAAATTACCTAGTATTTTCCTAGACTATCCCTACCCTTTTTTTGCCGGGTACAACAATTGTTTACTTGTTTAAGCATTAATAAATGAATAAGAATTACATTATCGAAAATACGCCAACTTGACGCATGAAAATATTTATACATGTGAACTGCATAGTGTATATTGAGATATAACAGCTGTGTATAGTTAACTGTTAATATACATTTAACACTCATATTTTAAAAAGCAACTGAAATTTTGTCACGTTGTCCAGGGATCTTTTCCCTCTGATTTATTTATATTAATTCCGGCGTTTTTACTCTTGGACATTTTCCNACATGAAAGAGGAATGTTTAACCTGGCTCCCTCTCCCCTTACTGCATTATTTTCTTCTTTTTTTTTTCAGGGAGATTAGCTTGCTAATTACCTCCCCCCCCCCTCTGTCCCCGTATACTCAAGAAAATTGGCGGATTTTTGGATTGTTATACCGAGTAAATTTGAATGGTCTGGTGTCCAGTTGTTTCACCACTAGTCGTGAGTTTGTATCCTCTGGGAATCAGAATATGAAGAGGAGAACACCAACCGATGGCAAGCGTCGGCCTGTGAAGCGAACTAAAATTTCGGACAATTTCTTGGGAAGGTAATTTTTTAAAAATAAAATCATGAAATTTTTCTTTTCTGCTAAATTAAAAGCGATTATTGCCATATTTTGAAATTTATATTAAACTATTGTAGTGCTGTACTCCTTTGCACTGTACAGTACAGTTTATTTACTTTCAGTACCTTGGTGTACGTAAAGCTGCTACTGTTGTGGCTGGTTGTTCTCGTTGCTGACTACTTTCTTGAGTTCAGGTAGTTCATTGACAAACAGTGTTCAGGTAGTTTATTAACATACAGCAGTTCAGGCAGTTCATTAACATACAACAGTTCAGGTAGTTTATTAACATACAGCAGTTCAGGTAGTTCATTGACATCCAGCAGTTCAGGTAGTTAATCAACATACAGCAGTTCAGGTAGTTCATTGACATCCAGCAGTTCAGGTAGTTCATTAACATACAGCGGTTCAGGTAGTTCATGAACACACAGCAGTTCAGGTAGTTCATAAACCTACAGCAGTTCAGGTAGTTTAGTGACATACATGAAATACGGTAGTTCATTGACATACAGGTGCTTAAGTTGTTCATTGACATGCAGGAGCTCCGGTAGTTTATTGACATACAGGAGTTCAAGTAGTTTATTGACAAACAGAGGAGATCAAGTAGTTCATTTACATACAGGAGTTCAGGTAGTTTATTGACACGCAGGAGTTCAGGTAGTTCATTGACATACAGGAGTTTAGGTAGTTTATTGACATACAGGAGTTCAGGTAGTTTATTGACATACAGGAGTTCAGGTTGTTTATTGACACGCAGGAGTTCAGGTAGTTCATTGACATACAGGAGTTCAGGTAGTTCATTGACATACAGGAGCTCAGGTAGTTCTTTGATATACAGGAGTTAAGGTAGTTTTAGATGTTCTAGTTCATTTTTATCCATTGATGATAGTTCATTTTCATCCAGGCGTAAATTAAACCTTCATTTAAACTTAGTATTCAAAGAATATCCATATTTGAGTACCTTAGATAGTCACTAATTATTATATTAAAGGTTTGAGTACCTTAGATAGTCACTAATTATTATATTAAAGGTTTGAGTACCTTTTGAGTACCTTAGATAGTCACTAATTATTATATTAAAGGTTTGAGTACCTTAGATAGTCACTAATTATTATATTAAAGGTTTGAGTACCTCTGGCCGTTCTGGCTCCTTGTAAGATCTATCTACGATTCCTTCAAATATCAAGGACTTGTAAGTTACAATTTATAATTATTTAGTCAACATGTCGACAAAGTGAATAGTTTTCGAATCAACTAGTAGACCAGTCTACAAGTCTACGAGTATTTTAGACTAAGTATTTTTTTCCTAAAAGTATTGCTTCATAAGAGTATTAGTCTTTTAGTCTTTTCGTCTTTTAGTCTTTTAGTCTTTTAGTCTTTTAGTCTTTTAGTCTTTTAGTCTTTCAGTCTTCCAGTCTTCCAGTCTTCCAGTCTTCCAGTCTTCCAGTCTTCCAGTCTTCCAGTCTTGTAGTCTTCTAGTCTTGTAGTCTTCTAGTCTTCTAGTATTTTAGTCGCCGTGTCTTCGAATTTTAGTCTTCAATTCTTCTAGACTTCTAGTTATTAGTCTTCCAGTCTATTAGTTTTCTAGTTATGCAATCTTCTTGTCTTTGAGTCTTTTAGTCTTTTAGTCTTTGAGTCTTTGCGTATAAGAGTCTTAAAGTTGCTGTGTTTCTACGGTTTTGAGTCTGTCTTTGAAGACGACGTCAGTAAACTCTTGTGCTTTGCTTAGAAGTAGAGTATTTATTAAACGAATTTTTTGCCTTAAACGTTTTTCTCTCTTATATTTAATTAATGATAAATATTGTTGACAAGGTCTAATACTGAGTGTTCATATATCTTTGAAGACAACTGCCCTAAATTAAATTTGTATATTTGGTTAAGGCGTTCTCAGTATTCTTCATCTGTATTGCTCTGACCAGTGACATGATCTGCTTTCTCTTTATCCCGGTGCACTGGCTCTTCTTCGCCGCTAGTACATACGTCTGGGTACAGTACGTCTGGCACACAGGTACAGTACATAACTTCTATCAGGGCCGTCCGGTAATTTAAAGAGGCTTTAACTGTAATTTCATAATAAAGGGGCATGACCGATTCTAAACGGTACCAACCTTTATCTTTTCAATAAAAGACGATCTTTGAAGGTCGTAAATTGTACTTGCCACACGATAACTTCAGAGTTTTCCTTAAAATTATGTCTTAAGTAGAGTCCTGTTTTGTGGATTTTTATTTAAGAAATTGAAAAAAAAAATTAGAATTTAACTATTTTAAATAATATAAAAAATTAAACATGAATCCATTCAATTTTATTTAGCCAAACCTTGACTTAGATAAATAAAAATGTATTTGAATAAAAAATGTAAAGTGACGCAAATATAGAAGTTCAAAAGATAAGATGATAAATCTGCATAGTGTTCGGTGTCACTGATAACTTTTTTCTTTCAAGTTTTATAAAAACTTATCATGGGGTACTATATTTGATTAATGGTCGAGTTAGGTGAGGGGAGGTGGATTTTTAACACGATTCTCCTCCTCTCCACCCCCTCCCCTCTAACCGCCTCCCCTTGGAATACTTTTAACAATTTATTATCGCTTTCAAAGGAATTGTATTTTAAGTAACCCTCATTCATTAAGATACATCATCTTCTTCTTGAGAATTGATTTTTTTCAATTGCGGGGTTCTCTCTAGTTATTTCTGGATTTCTGTTAGAGAAACGAGGAAGAAAATTGTTAAAATTAGTACCACTTTACAAACTAAAAAAAAAAAAAATGGAGGGCCACTATAAATTACAACCGACTGTCTGGTCCGTTTGATAAAAATGATTCGTATGAGGGAAGTAATAATTCGGCGGAAGATACTTTATTTATCCATATCGGCCTACTTGTATGGGAGGAATTCAGATTTGTTTATATTTCTATCAAAATATTCATGATTTAATGAGGTTTGTGTGAAAACGATAAATTTGTTTTGCCCTATTTTTGGATTTCCACCCAACTGTGCATCTTAATATCCATTTCATTTCATCCTGTATTCCCCTAATTGTGCTTCTTAATATCAATTTCATTTCATCATGTAGCCCCCTAACTTTGCTTCTAAATATCCATTTCATTTCATCCTGTATTCCCCTAATTGTGCTTCTTAATATCAATTTCATTTCATCATGTAGCCCCCTAATTTGCTTCTAAATATCCATTTCATTTCATCCTGTATCCCCCTAACTGTGCATCTTAATATCCATTTCATTTCATCCTGTATCCCCCTAGCTGTGCTTCTTAATATCCATTTCATTTCATCCTGTATCCCCCTAAGAAGATCATGAAAATTTCTTAACGATTTTCTATCTTTTTAACAAATTAGGAAGGTTTTTAACTATCTCTCTGTAGTTAACAGTTGAGACTTGTGCTTAAGAGCTATACTTTTTTTTTCATCAGGTTCATTGATATTTTGTCCCATGGATTCGCAAATCTTTGCAGATCCGGATCCAGGAAGCCAAAACAATCTAACGGATGCTATGCACTGCCCCCTAATATTTCTGATAACGGAATTTTTTAAAGAGTTTATCATTTTATGTTTACTCTTCTAAGCCGGCAAAATACCATCCGAAATCTACTGAAAATCTTTAAAGAAATCTCCTGATATTTGTACGGTTCATTCTAGCATGAAAATTCTAAGTTAGTAAAAAAAAATTTAAACTTTCTTCAGAAAAAAGGCTAAAATATAAGTAGTTATGGGATAGATTTATTTTATGTATTAAATTCTTCAATTTCATTCTTTAGAATGCAAATAAATAATGGACTGAAAATTGTGAACATTTCTGTAGATATTAATATTTCTTTTCATTTTAGAGAAAGGTATCTGTTTGCCAACTGTCTTCTTGTGGCTTCTTTTTGTCTACATTGAGGTAAATTAAAAAAATATATTTTTTAAATTTTTCGAATTAAATTTAATATTTTATTAAGGCTGCTGTGCGTCTGCGAGACTACAAGCTCAATATTGACGTGAAAAATCTACCGTTCCACCTTGACCTTTGTAGACCATTCGCTGCACACTGGTAGGTGGGGGAAGGGCGGATGGTTAAGGGGTTGGTTGGATAAGTGATTGTGTGGTTTAGTGGTTCTGTGGTTTAGTGGTTGAGTGTTTGAGGGGTTGAGTGATTGTGTGGTTAAGTGGTTGAGGGGTTGACTGTTTGAGGGGTTGAGTGGTTAAGTGGGTGAGGGGTTGAGTGATTGAGTGGTTAAGGGGTTGAGTGATTGAGTGGTTAAGGGGTTAAGGGTTTAAAGGGTTAAGGGGTTAAGGGGTTGAGTGGTTAAGGGGTTGGCTCGTTAAGTGTGGGTTTGTTTAATGGGTGGGTGGTTGGTTGGTTGGTGGGTTAATTATTTGTATTTGTTCGATTGATATAGACAAATTCTTTCGGCCTCTAATAAGTTGAGTGTTTAAGAAACATTATTATTTTTAATTTAAACCTTATTTAGAAACCAAATCTGGGGGATTTTTAGACTTATCTTCTTATATTCTCGGAGTGGGGGGAATCAATCAAATTAAAAGATTTTTCCCCCTTCAAAATCCCCTCCAGCTCCACTCTTCATAATTTTAAAATAATTCTGATATATTTATGTCTAACCTAAACATAGGAATAGTAGTAAGAAGAATAATTTTAGTCTAGGTATAAAAGACGAAATGGAAGGTTGTTAACAAACTAACATTAAATTCTGATAAAGATTAATTACAGATTTATCTCGAGGTTGAATTTATTTATTTTAGAAAGAGAACGAGACTTACTTTTCTCTTCTGCGATCTGCCCTCCCCCCTGGGCCTGCTAGGGAGGACGCTTTCAACCCTCAACCTAGTCCTAAACCAGGTAAGTTGTCCTGTAGGACGCTTTCAACCCTCAACCTAGTCCTAAACCATGTATATTGTGTGTAGGACGCTTTCAGCTCTCAACCTAGTCCTTAACCAGGTAAACTGTCCTATATTACGCTTTCAACCCTCAACCTAGTTCTAAACAAGGTTAATTGTCCTGTAGGACGCTACCTAGTCTTTAACCAGGTAAACTGTCCTGTAGGACGCTTTCAACCTTCAACCTAGTTCTAAGCCAGGTTAATTGTCCTGTAGGACGCTTTCAGCTCTCAACCTAGTCCTAACCAGGTAAAGTGTCCTATAGGACGCTTTCAACCCTCAACCTAGTCCTAAACCAGGTTAACTGTCCTGTAGGACGCTACCTAGTCCTTAACCAGGTAAACTTTCCTGTAGGACGCTTTCAACCTTCAACCTAGTCCTAAACTAACTGTCCTATAAGACGCTTTAAATTGCTCTGATTAGTGATTACTTCTGTAAACTAAACTCCTAAATTGACATTTAAATAAACAGTGAATTATATAAACAAAATAATCCAAATTTGTCTTGTCTTGTAAACTTTAAATACCCAGACACTTAATTTATTAATATAATGGAGAGTGAATGTAAACAAAACCATGACTAGGTATGACCGGGTTTATATCCGTTTAGGGAAATATTATGAACCGTTCAAAGAAATAATTAAGAATTAAGAATTAAATTTGTATTTAATTGGAAATATTGTTGTCAAGTTGTATTGTGTAATGAGTATTGGGTATATATACTGTCGTCTAAAATACATAAGCTGTAGTGTATGAGCATAGGTCTACCAAAACTGGTGTGTTAAAGAAACTGTAGAGTCATTTCAAGTGAACTTCCGTTTTGAGAGGGAGGGACATACCTTATTCACAGCGGTAAATCAGCATTAATTTTGGGATTGGGATGTGACTGTAGGACGTCCTTTTTGTCTGATTTAATTTTATAAAAGACTAGCTTAAGGGCCCGGCGTTGCCCGTGGATTTTTTTTTAATTATGTAAAAAATGGTGAAAAAAAGATTTCGATTTTTTTTAGCCTATGATACCCCGGCCACCCCTGAGTGTCCTAAAAAAATTTCAGCCCAATCGGTCCAGCCGGCTTTAGGCAACATATATATATATATACGAATGTCTTGTTTTATCATTAGATAACTAAACTTTTTTATGCGATTTTCCACTAATATATATTCATATATATATATAATGGTCGGAAAAATTAAAGTGTAAAATCAATCTAATATAAATCTAAATAATTAAGAAATTGAATTTTTCTACCAAAATACGATTTTTCTTTTACTTAACGTTTTAAATCTTGTTTGTTTTATGAAGGGTTTTCTTAAAAATTCACCGAATTAATGTTTGACTTTTTGTTATTTTATGAATGAAATATTTGTCGGTTCCAATTTCCCGGGTCAAATTACTCCTTGAGATTCAGATAATACTACACACAATTTGACAACATGAAACTGATTTCATTGTTGACTAATTTTTAATCTATTAATATTGTAACCCATAACACTTGCAAAGGAAGGACGACTGTTAGACTAGTCATGATTTTATATGAGTGCAGACAGACCGATTTCACAGTCCTTCTATCGACCGAATTTTGTTTAGTTGTGTGGACAGTGGAAGTGATTTATAAGTTTAAAATTAGACTTTATAACTGTTATGAATCGAGTCCCAAGAATCGACCCTTTTTTAGTCTCAATGGCAGATTAGCCAGCTGCAAGATCTTCGGTTCGACTTAAGGAGTTAAGCCCAATGAAAATAAAACCGACCTTGATTGGTTTTAGTGGAGAATAAGGCTCAATGTTGCGTCTTGTTCTCATAAAAACTGCGAATTCCCAATTCCTACCATGAAAATCCGCCAAATAGAATATTAAACCGGTGGGGGGCAGGGATGTAAGAAAAGGTAGGGGTGTGACAGGGAGGGGAGAGGGTTTGAGAAGTTAGGCAGTTGAGCAGGAAAAAGTTCATCTAATATTTTTCAGAATACAGAATTGGTGTCTTTTTATTAATAAATATTTGGCCATGAAAATAATGATTAAAATATAATTTTACAAATCGTGTTATTTTTATGTGTTATTTTTGACAAAACAAAAGCCATTTATATCCCCTAAGTTACTTAATAAGACAGTAAAAACACTTTTAAAACGAAAGGTTTATGGCTGTATAGTAGACTGGCTGGGGTAGTGGGGGGGNGGGGGGGGGAGCACTGGAAAAAGTATATTACAGAGAGGATTAGAAGACCCTTAAATTTAATTATATGATATTCTTTAGAATTATGATTTTTACGTGAATAGGTTCAAAATGCCTTTCAGATTTTCAATTTATTTTTTAGTAGAAACCGTTAATTAAGATCCTTGATCCTTGCTGTAGCAAAATTTTTAGTTTTATGGAAATGTCGTATTTTTTTATTCCACCCAAACACCAAATTTTTCATTAGTTATTCAGAAATTGAAATAACATGAAAGTAATTCAATATAATAAAAATTATAAAAATAACAATAACAATAATAACAACAATAATAATAAAAATAATATCAATTGTTTCAAGTTGAACGGGAGTGCTTCCAAAAATGGCGGCGGTGGGATAGTTAACGGTGATGTGGAGCTCTGCTATATGGAGCGACGAGAGGAAGAAATGGAAGAAGCCAAACATTTGGCCAGATCAAACTCTAAATCAAATGGGTGAGCACTACTCTAATCTTTGTAAAAGAAAAATATCAATTTTATTGGAATTTACTGGTATTACTTATTGACATCATAGCTCCCAGTTTTAATTTTCGTCCCAAAAAAAAATGTTATATTTATTGTTATATTTTTAAAAATTCAAGCTTTAAATCCCAACCCTACTCTCTAGCACTAGAATTATATAATTTTTTCTCAATATAAACATAAAATTTGTATACAAAAAAATATTTTTTTTAGACAATGACAATATAAATTGAAAAATACAAACAAAGCAACTCGAATAAACAAAGAAGAGAATGACTGGAAAAAGATTGACTAGTTTATGGGGGTATGCGGTCTCGGGAAGGGGGGTAGAAATTCAAAAATTTTCCGTTCTACTAGATGAATTGTCAAAAAAAAGATGAGTAAATATTGATATTTGACATTTCAACGTGAAATTTACTATAATTTGACGTGTAAGTTTTTAATCTAACGTGAAGTTTACTATAATTTGACATGCAAGTTTCTAATCTAACGTGAAATTTACAATAACTTGACATGTATGTTTTCAATCCAACGTGAAATTTACAATAATTTGATGTGTAAGTTTTAAATCTAACGTGAAGTTTACTATAATTTGACGTGTAAGTTTTTAATCTAACGTGAAATTTACTATAATTTGACGTGTAAGTTTTTAATCTAACGTGAAGTTTACTATAATTTGACGTGTAAGTTTTTAATCTAACGTGAAGTTTACTATAATTGGACGTGTAAGTTTTTAATCTAACGTGAAGTTTACTATAATTTGACGTGTAAGCTTTTATTTTAATCTAACGTGAAGTTTACTATAATTTGACGTGTACGTTTTTAATCTAACGTGAAGTTTACTATAATTTGACGTGTAAGCTTTTAATCTAACGTGAAATTTACTATAATTTGACGTGTAAGTTTTAAATCTAACGTGAAGTTTACTTTTAAATGAAAAAGATGGTTTATGATCAAATTCAAATCTAAAGGGTAAAAAATATGGGAAACAAAATATTTTATTTTAATTAACTAATGTTTTATCAGCTTCAGGTCGTCAAGTCTTAATTGCAGCGAAAATATCTTTTTAAAAAAATCCCCTGAACATTTTTAGAAATGTATTACTTACAACAATTGGAAATCAATGATCCTTTGCAACATTTCTTAAGTATATAAAAAAAAACATTTATTTCACTTAATTAATGATGTAGGACAAAGTAGAGATTATAATCTAATTCATGTGATCTGGACCCGCCCTAAAAAACGACCCTTATTCAAAACAGGATCAATATTAAGAACAATAAAAAAATAAAAAAACTTAAACCATTTTTTTTTACTGATTTTAATGCTAAAACTTAATTAACAAATCAGAGATTATGAAGTTTTTAATAGTCTCTCATTAGTTAACAGTCGACCAGATTTATAATTAAGAGCAGATCGTTTTTATTGTAGTTTTTTACCCTTGGATCCGGTGTAACGTGAGAATCCGTCCGGGCGTGAGACAATGTTTTTGCTACTGTATTTTCGCCCTGAAACAACAAATTTATCGAAATATTTTAATAGATTCCTATAAATATTATGATATTGCGAATTATTATTCCATAAATTATACATGTGCAAATGATAGAAGTTAAAATATCCATGTTTTTTCAATTCTTTAAGAGAAAAGCGTTATTCGAACCGGATTTTAGTCTTTTACATTTTTCTAGTATTGCTACATTTATAAACTTAACAACCAAGTTTACACACGGCAAGTGTTCAAGAATACTTTCATGATTTAACGATGTGGGTAGAGTGTCAAAACTATTAAAAAAGGCCGAAATGCCGTAGCCCGGTCATAATCTCACGCCTGGGCTGATTCTCACGTCACACCGGATCAGTGGATCCGCATATTCTTGTTGGTCCTCAGAATTAGGAAAAAGAAAAAGGTAAAAAATATTCAAGTTGTTTATTTAGGGCTGGAGCAAAGGATGTGACCAAAAAAGTGAGAGAAGAGAAAAAACCTGAAAATCATTTCCCCCTGGTGATCAAGCTGGAGAGCGACGTGAAGAGGTTGAAGTGTGATCTCCAGTTGTCCAGGAACAGGGAGAACGAGCTTAGGGAGCAGATCGTCTGCTACATGAGCAGTAAGTAGAAACCAGAATTAAAGCATGAATTCTGTTTTAACCCCCATTCATATATGCCCCAGGGGAAAATCAGAAAATATTTTCTTTAAAAAAATATTGTTTTTTATCAGGTGAGAGAAGCTTGAAATCTGAGATCTCTAGCCTACTGGTGGAGAAGAGCACCCTGGAGGCCAGGATCAACTCCTTGATCTCGAGTAGGGCAGGGGAGAAGCAGACCCTCTCCTCCCTAGAGAAGAAGCTTACGGAGGAGAAGAGGCAGAGAGCAGAGTTCCAGCTAAAGCTAGAGACGGAGAGGAAGAACAAGAAGGTAGGGTTACATCCCCCCAACGAACGAGCACTTATCAACTCAAATGTAGTGAACAATGAATTTTTCATTAAATATATGAATATTAAGCAATTTAAGTTATTTTAAGTTCCAATTTAAATAAAAATCATAAACCTTATTTCCAAAGAATTTTAAAGATCGAACGAATTCATATATGGTAATTTGTGCAATTCAACGTGATCGTTTAATGGATTGAATAATTGAAATTAAGCTGTTCATAATAATTAATATTAAGATATTTCTCTCCTCAATGTCGTCTGTTAGACTGTATACTCGATAAGTTTTTGTATAAAAATTTGCTCTTACCCGCATTTGCATGTTTTACAGTAAGAACCAGAAAATATTCGAATTGTAGTCGTCTTCTATTTCACTACGGATTAGTTCTGGTGCTCACTGTATAATTATATGCTGAAAGGGAATAACTTGATTTTTAAATTTAAAACTTTATTTAGATCGTTTTTATTTTCGTAGGAAGCGAATGCCGAACGTGCTGTTGCAATGGCGCAGCACAACGTTAACAGCGGAACAATCGCAAAACTGGAAACTGAAATCGCGAGACTTAAAGACGAACTCTCGAGGTCTGAGCAGCGAGCTTTGTCAGCTGAAGAGGTAATGACTTCATGATCTTTCAGGGACGATTGGGAAAAGAGGAAATTCCGATTAGACAAGTTTTGGTGACATTTTAATTGCTGGCCAAACGGCTAGACCGAATGGGCTGATCATTTTTAAGGGAACCCCCCTGGGTTCCCGGGAACAGAAAAATCGATTTTTTAAAATGAATATTTTTAAAGCGAGCTAAACAAGACAAAAATTAAAAAATCGTTTTTAATATGAACTCTTCTTTATCTAGGAGATCAAGGGTCTGCGTAAGAACACTCACGGAGATCCTGAGAAGCTGAAGGTTGCGCTGACCCAGGCCCAGGATCAGCAGTGTCAGCTCGAGAAAACCTTGTCAGCTGAGAGTAAGGTTAAGATGGAATTGTTCTCTGCTCTGGGTGCTGCAAAACGTAGGCTTCAAATGAATGAAGGTACTGCCTACTTATTAACTTCAAGATAGAGTGAGTGGCATGTGTAATTCACAAACGTGCATGGGTGGGAGAGAGGAGAATTATGGGGGGGGGGGGGTATGAAAGGAGTACAAAAGAACTGACTAATTTAAAAATATTCTAGTTACTTTTTTTTAGTATAGCTACTGTGGCCAATTTTCTAAAACTAATGGGGAGGGTGAGTTTGACCAGTTTGAATACATTTTGTTCTACAAAAATACCATCCAATTGAGGCCTGTGTGCAAAAGATATTATATTTTCAATGAAAATTGAATCCATGAATCTAGAAAATATGAAAACTATTTACAAAGTGGGAAAATAGGATAAGAATAAGATGGCGGGGAAATTGATCTGAAAAAAACCCTAAACTTCTTGCTGATGTTAGTAGTGATATGTTTGACTAACAAGTAGGTGTTTTAAAATCCAGCTGACATTAGAATCAGACTTTTGGGGTAAAGAAGATTTAAAAAACATGGAAGAATGGGATAAAGAGCAGGGAAAATCTTTTTTTTTCCAATTTTTTTTTTCATAAAAGAAACACAAATGATGCCCATATGGATAATTTCTCAAAAAAATGAAGACAGGGTTCCTAATGTAATCGAATTGGTCGAACTCACCCTTCCCTTTGCGATGATTTAAAAAAAATATTTAACACGTAGACTTAGTAGACTTTTTTCCTGCATTTTATTTAAATACTAGAATTTATTAAGGCTCAAAAATAGTTTTTAAAAAATCCATTCCTCCATACCTTTTATTTTTCCTCAGAAATTTGGAATTTTTAATACAGGCAAATAAAACTGAATTATGAAGCTATTATCTAATTATATATTTAAAAGAAAAAACGATAATAATAAAAAAGAAACTTTTCACTGAGATTTGAACGGTATTTTTTCTCTGAATGTTAATTTGACAATAACAAATTCACGATAAAAAAGTTTAATCAATCAATCAATTTTCTGGAAAAATCATTTTTTATCTGCTCCTGTACATTAAATGTGTTTTCTGTTAAGGTATGCTGATGAACAAGGACCGAGAGATCCTTGAGCTTAAGGGTAATATTGCCGAACTCCTGGCGGTCATGCCCGGCACTCAGTCTCTTCCCTTTAACGGGATGGGCAGTGGCGGTCATTCTGCGGCACCTGGTGGGTTTCCAGCAACCACTAGAGCATCTGCATCATCTGGGCTCTTCATTCCAAACAGGTATACTTCATATTTAGTAGGTACTAGAAGATTCCATACTTGCCCAGGTTACTCATACTCATAGTTACTACCGCCGTTTACCCGCACTGGTTGTAAATTACGATTTAAGCTACTTTTAGGATAAAATTCGACCCACTCAACTACGAATTTCAAAACCAATCCCGTGGCTTCCCGAGTTCCCCAATCAAAATTTGAGGCAAATCGGTTCAGGGGTTCCTGAGTTATGATTGGACAAACAAACAGACAGATAAACAGATAGTACAACTTTATATAGATACTTTCTTTCTTGTAGGTATACTTTTATCTTTAGGTGGTATACTTTCATCTCTAGTAGGTATACTTTTATCTCAAGTAGGAATAGTTTCATCTCTAGTAGGTATACTTTCATCTCTAGTAGGTATACTTTTATCTCTAGTAGGTATACTTTTATCACTAGTAGGTATACTTTTATCTCTAGTAGGTATACTTTCATTCTTAGTAGGTATACTTTTATCTCTAGTAGGTATACTTTCATCTCTAGTAGGTATACTTTCATCTCTAGTAGGTATACTTTTATCTCTAGTAGGTATACTTTTAGTTGAACATTTAAAAGGAATAGAAGATATAGGATATTAGATATCTTTTATTTAGTTTGGATCATGGTCACATGACCGGCGAGGCGAGTATGTCTGATTTGCCCGCGGGCATTGAGCTGAGCAAGCTGACCGGTCTAGGACTAGCTGACCTTGAAGACAAGCTGGCTAGTTATGAGAAGTCCAGTACTTGTGTTACCAGGTATGACATTAGTTGTCAAGTCCAGTAAAGGGACTGTAAACGTAATTTCGAATGACCCTCTACCGTAGCATGTCATTTTTATTCTCTGTGGAACTTTTTAACCTTCTGTCTAATCAAGAACACCACAAAGATAAACTTGTTTTTCTTGCTGAAAATTTAGTTCCGTTCTGTTTTATCTGCAGTAACGCATGTAATTGGTGGTAACTTTTTTGCAGACAATTGGACTGAACATATCAGGAAGGTCACTTTTAATTATGTTTAAAGTCCCTTTAAACACTCTTTTCACAAGGTTTTGTGCCTAAACTTTACTAATGTGTTTCTAATAATTCTAATATTAAATTATTCCGTACTTCTAGATGGACACACAAAGAAAACAAATAGTTCCCTCCGATCTCAAACGTGAGTTGGATCATAATATAGATAGTAGTCTTTGTTTTAAACGGGTTGATCGCCGTCACTGGAATCGATCTTTTGTGAATTTTCCAATATGATCTCCGGAAAAGAAACGGATTTCAATCCGTTTAGTTTGAGATGTTTAAAATGTTTGTTGGTGTCAACAAATGTGAACACAATTAGTTAAAATACTTATTCCCTTGCCCCTAGTCAGGTATATTAGCATGCAGTGTTCAGGATCCGGATCCGGATACAGTGGCAAAAATGACTTCATTAACTAATCCAGAAGATCCTAAAAATAAAAGTCAAAAATCAGGGAAACTTCCAAAACATTTGTATAACTAGATCCGGATCTGCTTGAAAATAGAATGGGTCCTAAGCATACTGTTAGCATGTTATTAATTTGATCTATCAAGAAATGATCCAAATTTTAATGCAGATTAAATTCTTTCACATAAAAATGCAACTGTCCTCATAAAATTTATTTTATTTTAAAATATTTTATTAAATTGTTTTATTACGTCGTTAAAATGATGTATCATTTATTTCTGTGCGGAATCAGATCAATATGAAATTAATTTTTTTGTTTTTAAAATTGTCAATTCTTGACAATTGTAAACGACCTTGTGAATTGTGTAATTACTTAAGGACTATTTTAAAAAATTGGGCGTTTTACGCAAATTTTGCCCTAAAAAAATTGCCTCACCCAACAGGAAAATCAATGTTTTCTCGCAAATTTATAGTTTTTTCAGAATACATCCTTATTCCTCCCCCATTACATTTAAAATACCCTAATTGTTTAAACGTTTAATGAATATGTTGTAACTATAAATTGTTTTGTGTAATAATGTTATGTGACGTGTTGTCTAATTGATTGATTGATTGATAATGATTAAATTTTTTTTTTTAGTTCAATGTACACCCCAACTACGTATTCTGTCATGAACGGAAGCCTCAACGAAGCATAGAATCCAGAATTCAGACCAGCCAACTCAAACTAAATAAAGTACAGAGCCAAATCCGTAATTTTATCCGAATTGAGGCACCGTCACCTATGCCATCAAGAATCCGGTGTATCCGGTGAATCCGGTGTATCCGATGTATCCGGAGTATCTGGTGTATCAAAAATGAATTATCGGAAATATTACAATCATGTGTTGTGTTAATGTTCAGAAAAGTTGGGGTTGCGGAGTTTTCAAAAATGTCGCCTTTCCCTGCTCCCTTTAAATCCCCTTTTCTTAAAGATCAGTAGAAGGGGGCTTAAATGGACAAAATGAATGTTTTTCCCCGTCTCCTAAATGTTGTTTTCCCTAATAGCTTTTATCCACAAACTTTTAGAGGTATTGATAGTTAACTTTAGGAAATAAACAATAAAGGTTTGTTCAGATAAACCTGTTAAGCTGAAAACTGAGTGTTGTAATCTATTTTGGTGTCGCTGTGATTTAAATTTCCCTTCAAGGATTCTGAGCCCAAAACATTGGAAATAGCTTTCTGGTTTCATACTCTTTAGAAGAGTATTTTATTTAAATGTTGGTAGTTGAGATATTATTATAGAACGAACATAATTGCAGATGTTATATGGGGTTATTATTGAGTTTTATAATCTTGCGTGTTTTTCTACGCATGTGGTTTATGTTGGCCTATGTTGTTAGGACTGGTGTTAAAGGGGGTTGTAGGGCTTGCTCTTTTTGTGTTGGATGGCGTTAGGAAAGGTGTAATGTTGGGTGTTGTTGTTAGGAAAGGTGTAATATTGGGTGTTGTTGTTAGGATATGTATATTAAGGTTAGGTGGAGTAGGCTAAGAAGTGTTAGGTTGGTATGGCAAGCTAGACATGAAAAGGAATTAGCGAACGCGGAATATGGCTGGTTTCTAAAAGTCTAATAGATAAGATGTTTCATAGTTCCATGGTTATCAAACCCCAGGTCAAAAACTTGTATGAGATAGTGTTAATCTACAACACTTGATCTCGATGTCATCTGTGGCAAAGTTTAGATTTGAAGTTTAAGTGCTTGATCCCTGTTAAAATCATCCCTGTTGGGTTTCGATCACGGGATAGAGAAGAGGAATAAAAAATAGTTGCGTTTAACAGCAAAAGCTTAGTCCAAAGATTAACTAAATATTATTTGACCTCTGATGGATTTTTGATCTGTTTGTATTAGGTTAGCTGTTAAGTTTGTATAAGTCTGTTACTTATTTGGACAATGTTACCCCCCTAATCCTAAACGTTCTCCTGCACATACCCCACTCCTTTAGCACCCTTCCTTTTATTCCCTCTGTCATTTTACTGGTGGGAAAGGTGACATTTATGATGAAAATGGGTCAAAATTATTTCTAAAATGACGCGGAGGATATGGAGGATTTGTCTCACTGAATTATTATCTATTTATGGACTAAAGAGGGGGAAGGGGGGGGGGATATTTATCTCGGAATTCTTGTTGTCTTTCATACCTTCGACCGATAAGTACTTAAACAGCCTGTTTTAAAAACTTGAAAGATATCGCATTAAAAATTTATTTCCCTGCAAACAATCAGAAAGACGAAGAATATTCAGGATTTCTAATGTCTTATGTTGAATTTTTGTTCTCTTTGTTAAATGATACTTGTTTTTATTTTGTTTTTATAAGTTAGTGTTTCCTTTAATTTGAAAATATTAAACGGCTAAACGTACACCTGTTCTTTTAACAGGATTAAGGGAATACTAAAATGATTTTTTTGTGTGGAAAAATTGAAATCCTGAAACTGTGATATAACCCTGTATTTGCACATCACATGACATGTCGCGGGTTCTATTAATCTCCCTGGATTAATATCAAACCCAAGGCCCCCAAATCTATATACTTAACAGATTAATTTATTATTATTTTGTTTTCTAAATTTAATGAAGAAATGATCTGACAACTATCCTTTGCTGATGTTATTGTAACTATTTTCAACCATTTTCATGTATAGCAGCAGTAGCAGTTAGCAGCATTAATATCATTAATATCTCTGCGTAATCTAATTGCTCAACTGCTAAAACTGCAGCTGTAACAAGATTTAACCCGTCTGCGCTTCTCATTTCCTAATTTAAAAAATGCCTAAGATTACCTCGACATTAAACCAAGATCCCTGTAAGGAAATGATGGAGGTGCGGCGCTGTAAATCTATTCCGTGTGTTCTGTAACATCGTAAACATTGTATTGTGGATAAATGTTTGATAAGAAAAATTTGTTGCTGGTTCTCAGTATTCGCCATATTTGGTTCCTTGTGTCAGCTGATGGACGTTAGAAAATGCGCCAAAGGAGAAAAGAAATAAATGATAATCAGCTATCGTTAAATTTCCGCATATTCTCGCCTAGCTGTTGCTATTCTAAATGTCACCTGTCTCAACAAAACTTGAATAAAAAATCATTACTATGTACAACTTCTATTTATTAAGAATTTCTGGATTTTTCGGAAATCTAAATTGATATTTTTCTGTGAATGTATGTTACTTGAATCCTGAACATGTGAAAAGAGGAAAGCAATTACAAAAAATTTAAAAATTATATTTCAAGGGAGATACTATACTATACTTGTATACCCTTCTGATTCATCTGACTTTATTTTTCTACTATGTTTCAATATGCACAAATGAATTTTTGACAGTTGCAAGTTTGCAACTATAAAAATGAAATTGTATTTTGTAAAACATCAATTTAAACCAGGAACCTTATCATTAACAAATTTGATCTTGTTCATAGTTGAGTACTGCTATATAAAAGCCACTTTATTTATAGGCGAGGGCCACCCTTCTCCCTTGTACAGTGAGAAACATAAAACTCTGGAATAGGAAAACTCTTGGGCTCGAGTTATGACTTTAAATAGTCCAATGAACATGAGACTTCGCAATTATTTAATGTAAACCGAACAATTTTATTCAATACGTGATTTAAAAAGTTGCAGGTAAATTATTTGATTTATAATATCTTAAAATACACTTCAGTGTTGCTTTAATGTCGTCCTTCTATTCCATAGATTCAAGGTTATCACTGTATAGGTAACCAGAGGCGTACTCAGCAATTTTCCCAGGGGCCTGAATGGGGGGGAACTCTGCATCCATTGAGGCCTTTCATCTCTAATCTCCTTCCCCCGGCCCTCATCATGCTAAATAGAAATCAAAATCGTGTTTCATAGAATTTTAATGTTGGTGACACCAGGCCCCTAGCCATGGGGGGGGGTGTAAAATTAGAAAAATCTAGATATTGCTATTTAAAGAAAACAATTGTTTTTATTCTGTATACTATATATATACACTCAGATACAGTGTAAGTGTGTAGGTGTCCAAAAAAATGTTTATTAAAGCTGTTCCCTCATACCAACCAGATTAAACCTTTTCTTTAAAAATATTTGTCCTGAAGTAGGATTTTCTGACTGAACTATTTTGTTGTTCTTTTTCATGTCGATATCATACATTTAATGTGGAACTAACATCTCTACTTTTTTACTCTACAGAGGTTAGGTCCATCGACATCACCGAATTTTAAATTTAATGTAACAATTAAATGTTCCAGTATGTAAAAGTATAAGGGAAACTGAAATCTAAATTGGGGATTAATGATTCTGAAGAATACCGCTTCCGAAAATGTATTTCTTTTAGATGCTGGCACTTTCCTTCCCTTATTCAATTAGAATACTTTTTCCCAAGAAGGAAATATTTGTTAAAATTTTATTAATTGATTGACTTTTCATTAACACAAAGACGACAAATTCGAGTCTATACTAGGAAAATTCTGGACGCGGCACTGTACAAAGGAGTTGTTAATAATTCCGGTTTATTTAAATTTCTTAGCAAATATCAAAGAAATTGACTTAAATTACTAAAGTTATGATACGTTAATAAAATGGAGTCTGAACAGAGAACCTCGGCTTTACAGCAGCGCCTGCAGGCTAGACGGGAAATGTTTATGAAAGAAACCGGTTCTATTAATAATATAAACAATACTGGAAACGCCCAACCCATATATGGGTCCAAAGTGAACACACCCTCTACTGCCCCGCCCCAGCCTCCAACGAATGCCCCAAGAGCAACCAAAGATTCTTCAATTTACGGAAATAAGGTCGGTTTTCTCTCGGTTATTCTTGGTTTCAGTTTAAGATTTTGTAGAGCACATATCCTACGGATCAGCTGACCTTAGTCCTATTGTTATGTAAGGTTTATCCTATGGATTCACTAACACCGTTCATACCTAAAGTTTATCTGTGTCCGTCCTAGTATACGATTGTTGGACCCCACTCCGCCTCCTATCAATTTTGTGAATGATCACTTATTGGTAATTTCCTAGAGAACGATTTTTGGACCGCAGCGCCCGGTTACAAAATGAATATTGTTTATTTTGTTGAAAAATAATATATGCCATGCACAAAATTGGGGAGGGGGTGGTATATTCCTAGAGAACGATTTTTGGACCCCCAAGCCCCCCCCCCCCCTCCGATCAATTTTCTACATGGATTTTACAGAAAGTGTCTCAACTTAACCTAACCCGTGACCGCAGCGCTCGGCCCCCTAGCCTGTCCTAGCCGCAGCACTCTGCCCAGAAAGTGTCTTTACTAACCTATCCCATGGCCGCAGCGCTCGGTCCCCTAGTCTATCTTAGCCGGAGCGCTTCCCTAGCCTATCCTAGCCGCAGCGCTCGGCCCAGAAAGTGTCTTAACCTAACCCAAGCCTAAATAATAATAAATAAATACTAGTTTACTAATTTCGTCATGTACAAAATTGATAGGAGGGGGGGGGGCCTGGGGGATCCAAAAATTGATCAGTAGGACAGACTGCAAAGTAACCATCAGTTAAAGGTAAAATTGTTAAGCGAGTTACGTCAGAGTTTTAATATAAAGGATTATCCCTAAGGATTAACTAATAGCTTATCAAAATAACGCATAATCCCTCAGGATCAACTAATAGCTTATTAATACTAAGGACAATCCCTATGGATCATTTATTAGCTTATTAATATAAAGGATAATCCCTATGGATCAAGTAACGGAACTAAACCAAGTCTAAAACCTGAAGTTGCCCCGAAACCCCGAGATGTATCTCCAAAACCAGAGGTACGTTTTTCACAATTTTTTTTTGTAAAGACGGAAAAGCATGATTTTATGCATACTTGAGACCAGTGCTTAGGATCCATTTAATTTTGATGCGGATCCGGATCCTGGATCCGCACATAAAATAAATGATCAAAATCCGGTTCCGGATTTATTAACTGACGAAGAATTTTGATATTGATGTTTTTCTCACTTATCATGTGTACTGGAATAGGGTATCGCATTAAGGCCCGCGCACGAATGAAAGGTCGATACGGTACGGGGTGACGTCTGACGTCACTGATTAAAACTATTGGTGGAGAATTCTCAGACCGCCAAAGAAATCCCAATCACAATTATGCGTATACTCGCCTACAACAGATCTTATCCCAAGACAGTTCTAGGACCAGTGTCCACTTTGTGCCCTGTACCGGGTTATGACGTAGGTTAGCACCAAATCTAGAATTGTATGACTACCTTACCCTATTCCAGTACCCATGTCACTTATCGTTAATGCAACAACTTGGAAAACCATTCAGCATTTCTCTTTGTTTAACAGTTTAAATTGTAAATTTGTGTTTTTTGCAATTTTTTGTTGAGATTTCGCCATTGGATCTGAATCCGTGGATCCGCATATTTTTGCGAATCCGGATTCAGGAAGCCAAAATTTGTGCGGATCCAACGGATCCAGATCCAAAGCACTGCTTGAGACATGAAAAAATAAGACTTGCTTACGAGAACATGCATGAGAAAGCGAAAATCCACCAAGAGTTCACATTTCAAGATAAATTATAAATTTTTTTAAAAAACTTTAATATTTTTGATATGTATGGATAGTTTTTCTTATTTTTTTCTCTTAGAATATTTATTATTTTAACCACGTATTTACTATTAGCGAGGATTTCCCAGGGACAACTATCAACTTTACCGGGAATTTACTTTTCCGAATGTTTTTAAAGAATTATTATCAGATTCATCAATTTTCATTTGTGAGGAAATCAATCTGGTTGAAAGTATCAGTTTTGATATTATTAAAAATAAATTACTTTCTCGCAAAACGCCCTTTCTCGCAAAACTAACTTATTGAGAAAGAAACGTTACTTTAAAGTTTTTTTTCGGATTTTTCTGATACTTGGTTCGCAGATTACTGGGTTTGAATGAAAAGCATATTATTTTGATAAATATAGTTTTGTTTTTAAGGTTGTAAAGAAACCGCCGCGACAACTTGACGGCTACGTGGGTTTTGCTAACTTACCAAATCAGGTTAAAATTTTATTTATCATTTTGTATTTTTAAATCTGAAGTATTTACTCACACAATCAATTACTTTAAGCATAATATTGTTAAAATTAATATTTTGCGCTAAAAATATAAAAAATAATGATGTTTTCTAGGTTCATCGAAAGTCTGTTAAGAAAGGGTTTGAATTTACTCTGCTTGTAGCTGGGGAGTCAGGACTTGGGAAATCTACTCTTATCAACTCAATGTTTCTTACAGGAAATTATCATTTACAGTGGTAGAGATGTGCCTTCATTTGGTTCGTTTTTCGTTTATATTTTCTTTCATGGTCTAAATTTAGAATAGTGTAAAGAAAGAAATGTATTTTAAATTATGTTTTCTAAATATTAGTTAGCTTTACACTATGTCAAAATTTAGCCCTAGCAGAAGTTATATGCAAAAGAACTACCAAAAAACTTTACAAAAACGATACAAAAACAAATGTGTTGCAAAGTTTAATAAAATCAAAATTTACATAATACAGTTTTAAAATCTTGAAAGATTTATAAAAAAAATTCTGAAAACGATTCAAAACGATTAACAACACTAGTTGGGGGGGGGGGGTATACCATTGCCTCCTTTTTTCAAAAATCATTTATCTTAAAGGGACAGTAAAGGAAAAATGAAAGGGGGTATAGGCTGAAAGCTAATCACTTTAGATCTCGATCTCGACCCATGAAAGTCATATCTGATGTTCCTGTCTCGAGAAATTGATATAAAACTGTGTCAAATCTTTACGAAAATTAATATATATACAATTTTGTATAAAAGTAGTAGGTTGAAACAGATCATATTCAGCAAATAAGCAACCAATCTGAAAACGATGATATCCCAGAGAAAGCTAATTGTAATTTAGGTTTACTTTTATATTTGTTGTTTCTATTTTCAAACGATTTCATTCATAATATTATTTTTACGTCCGTATTACTTGACCAGAAATTCCACCAATGGCAGGCAGTAAAGTGGTCACGTGATACAGGCGGAGACACGTGACCAGTATACTGCTCTTCCATTGGTGATAGTTCTGGTCATGTGATTTAAGTTTCAGATTTTCAAAATTTTACATATATGAATTTTCGTATAATTTTAACACAGTTTTATATCAGTTTCTCGAGACAGGAACATCAGATATAACTTGCATGGGTCGCGATCAAGAGCTAAAGTGATTAGCTTTCAGTCTATACCCCCTTTAATTTTTCCTTTACAGTCCCTTTAATCTTGAAAACTTTGTTGGCGTTTATTAATGAACTAGATGAAGTGTCCGGCGTTGCCCGAGGAATTTATTAAAAACGAATTTTTTTCTAAATGTTAGATTTTTGGAGAAGAAAAAACAAATTTTCGAAGCAAAAAATATTTCAATTTTTACCCCCGGGTACCAACCGGGTTCCCTCAAAAAACATCTCCCCATTCTGTCCTGCCGTTTTGCCAGCTATAGCTAACATATTATGAGCAAAGAGCTTTAGTAGATAGATTTAGGAAATAACTTCATTTAGATAAAAATTTTATAATTTAATAGGGGGGGGGGGAGGCTTATTGAACCTTTTCTTTAAATTCATTTGTTTTAAAGCATGTTGATAATAGTTTTAAGATGTTTGTGATTGGGGAAATATCTGATTTTTTTTGGTAAACAAATATAGGGAGAAGGGCCGATTAATATGTATATATAAATCAATAAATATTTGTTTTTAAAGCATGTAAAAAATTAAAATTATGGATGTTTTTATTGTTGAATATGGAAAACTAGGAGCCCATCTTCTATTTCAATTGTGATCATTTTCTCTTTGTATTCATTGTAAAACAAAAACAAACAAACTTTCGCAGATTTAAAAAAAGCGTGGATTTTTTAAAATTTTCAAGAATAAATTTTGTAAGGGTCAAATAAACCTTCCCCGGGTCATGTGAGGTCCCACTCAAAATTAAATTTGGGCCCGATCGGTAAAACCCTTTTGACGTTTTTTGGATACAAACAGACAGACAGACTAGCAAAGTATATATAGAGATAGCTGATTTTTAACTGAAAATAATATTAAATAAATTGGAAGATGATTTTGTACTTCTTTCCAGCCTTTTTGTAAAGTAATTCCCTGAAGCCCTGTAATTTGTGTGTGCGGGGTTGGTAAATATTTTTAATGTACATATATTTGATAGTTCAGGTCAAAAACCAAATCATAAGCTGACAAATTTACATCAAGAGAATCCTTTTCTCTTCTATTTATTTTTCTTTATTCTCCCAATCAGCTTTTAGTCTAATTAAATTATTCCTGTACAATATAACACTGATCATTAACTTATTTATCCAGTCAATTAATTAGTTCCTTATTGAACATGAAAACCATTTATATCAGAAAATCAGTTCGATGAACCAATAGATCAGATCATGTTTTTCTTAAAAAAAACTAAAAAGAGAGAATATTTTTTTAAAAAAATTTCCCGCTTTGAATGTTTTCTTTCCCCATATATCGTGTTTAAAGTTTTTTTCGAAGCCCATTTTTCCCCGGATTTTTGAAATAAGTTTCGGGGTGGTAATTCTTCACATAATTTAACGGACCCTTGATATCAGGGTTGCATATTATCAGTAAAAATCATTCCCCCCCCTTCATATTTTTTCCCCCATAAGTTAAAAATGGTTGCGTGGAGCGCGGAAAAATGTTTTTTTCTATGATTTGGGGGAAATGATTGATTTTTCAGGGAAAATAAATGATTTTTTGGGTAAAAAGTGTGAAAAAATTGTCTTTTTGATGTCTCATTCATAATTTTTTTTTCTTTGTAGTTCTGAAAAATATTTATGCCTGCCTGATAGTTTTGATTAATACCTGTGTGCTTATATTCAGCTATAGTTTAGTACAGATTAAGGTCGAATGAAGATGACATTTATATTATTTTATACTGGTTTTTAATAATAATAAGTCAAACTTACTACAACACTCCGGTTTGTTTCTATTTCAGGGCATATTAAATAAGTTAAAAACATATATTTCAAATCAAATTCCGATAAAAACCCTAATCTTATCATTATCATATCTTATCATTATCATATCTTATCATTATCATATCTTATCATTATCATATCTTATCAATATCATATCTTATCAGATAATATAATGATATAATAGTAAACGCGCGTATTCCGTATTCCCGGAAGGGAAACTCAATCCATCAGCATTTAATTAATACTAGAAATAGTCTGTTTGGTAATACGCTGGTGGAAGGAGTTAATCCGGAATCATGGCTCAAATTTGGTCGTGATACCCGACGTTAGGCCTAAACTATGTCAGGCTGAAAAGTCTTGATCTAGACGGGATCGTGATGGCGTACCCCATTTAGATCGAGGAGCCCACGGGACTTCCCTTGCTTCTTGAATTGAATTGAATTGAATTGAATTGAATTGAATTGAATTGAATTGAATTGAATTGAATTGAATTGAATTGAATTGAATTGGGACACACTGTATATGATAAAAATGTTGTACAGATATATACTCTGATATATACCCTGGACCTACGAAACGTGCCAAACAAACTGTACAAGTTGAGACCAGTCAAGTTCTACTCCAGGAGAGCGGTGTAAACCTACTCCTAACTGTTGTGGATACTCCAGGCTTCGGAGATGCGATAGATAATTCGAACTGTTGGGATCCTGTCTTATCATACGTTGAGTCTCAGGTAGTCATTCATTTAATGTGACCATCTATCAGGAGTTTTATTGTAAAGGCTCGTTATTTTCGAAAACAACAAAACTCTTAAGATGTTATTGGTCAATAAGATTCCCCTCCTTCATTAATCCTTTCAGGGGTGTATATTTGTCAGAATCCTTATTGCTGGGAGTGTATATTTTCTCGAAAAATTATTTTTTTCCCTCCCCCATTCGAGAAAAGATTTCTGAAAAATAGGATTTAGATAAATATACATCCCTCCCCCCCCCCCCTTCCGGGCAACTTTTTTACATTCTTTTTGATATTTTCTACCTAACAGTTCATTGATTTCTCAAAAGAATCATTTATTTACCTTAATGCAGTCAAATATATTTTCTGGTGGAAAACAATGATTTTCAAAAGGGGGAGTGGGGTAAGAAAAATAGTTTTCGATAAAATATGCAGTATATACCCCTGCATCTCTTATTTTCTTTTCATTTCCCTATGTAAATGGTTTGTGACGAGTGTTGTACTGTCAATAGAATTTATTTATATACAGGGGTGTATATATTTCAGAATTACCCCCTGCTAATGTTTTTTTGATGATTTGGGGGTAAAAGGACCCTTTTTCAGTCTTCTTTCGCACATTTAATCATTTCTTTTTTCCAATTCAGCGAATAAAACCATAAACAAAAAAATTGCACTCCGCGGAAGCATATTTTACTTCTGGGGGAAATAATTATTTCAAGGGGGAAGGGGGGGGGGATGCTGAAGAAAAATGATTTTTTTGTGTTGATGGTTTGTGACAAATGTACTGTCAATAGAATTTATTTATATTTAGTATGAAGAGTTTCTAGAAGCAGAGACTAAGGTGCAGAGGAATCCAAATATGCCGGATACTAGAGTACATGCTTGTCTTTACTTTATACCCCCCTCAGGTATAGAATTTGCTTTATACCCCCCTCAGGTATATAATATACTTTTTACCCCCCTTAGGTATATAATTTACTTTATACTTCCCCCATCCGTAGGTATATTTAATTGGATTTTTAAATCTTGCAGATTAAAGAAACAAATAAATAATGAAGTATCCGTAGAATTCAAAAGTGACCCTCTACAGATAAATGGAATATCCGATTTACAACTGTACCCTTCGTATGATCAGATTAAATATCTTATTAATTGGTTTCTCAATTCTCCTTTAAAGTTACTTAAAGTTACTTAAAGTTACTGACGTTGTGTTGCTACAGAAACAATGTAGGAAATTGTCCAGCATGAACACTTTTCACGCTTTCAATGAAAACGATATCTTTCCACATTTTTGATAAGAAAAAGGTGTAAACTGTAAATGGAAGCGGTTTGAATCATTTTTAATGGAGGGTTATTTTAGATTAGATCAACAGTCTCTTTAGAAATTGAGACTAAANTAGGGGGGATTTTTGAAGATTTGGGGAGAAACTGCAAAATTGGACATGAACAGTTTTTTATACTGTCTACCTAGAATATTTTTCCTCATAAAAATTAATTGTTTTTCCCAGTTTAGCGAATAAAGCCCCAAACCAAAACCCTAACTTTTTGGAGTTAATTTTTCAAAATAGGAGGGATTATTTTTCAGGAAAATATACACCCCTGCATAAACATAAAATTTAAAATGATTAATAGATAACATCTAACTTTTTAAATATGTTTTAGTACTTTCTGACATTTACTAGATCTATATTTTAAATGTAAATGTCATCTAATTCTTTATATTTTATAAAATAATGAAATTTGGGATTCAAGTTTGGAATAAAAAAGAATATTATTTAATTATTATTTATTGAAAGTTGAGGCTAAAAAAGTGAAATAAATAGTTTCTAAATTATTTGAGAAAAAAAGAAACTTACAAATAAATTTAGCGACTGCAAAATTTGTAAAATTACCTTCAAAATTGCTTTTTTTTATCAACTAAACACATTGTTTAGGAAAAATCTCCACAAGATGCTTGCTTTATATAGATCTTGATTTTGCATGATCAATTTATATTAAAAGTTTAATTAAAAGGTCCGATACATTTTACTTGAAACGATAAAAAATAGATTTTATGAAATCCTTGAAATTGTAGGATATTAGAAAAGTTTAAATATTGATTCTATCTATCTATATATAAATTTGGCTTGTCTGTCTGTTTGTATCCAATAGACGTCAAAACGGCTGAACCGATCGGACCCAAATTTTTTTGTGGGACATCGCGTGACCACAGGGGAAGGTTTATGAATAATAAAAATTTTAAAAAATGTGCTTGTCTGTTTGTTTGTTTGTATCCAATAAACGTTATAACGACTGAACCGATCGGGCCCAAATTTTGTGTGGGACCTCACGTGACTCCAAGAAAGCTTTATGAATGATCAAAATTTCAAAAATTTGTGTTAAAAGTTTTTAATTTTTGTAAAATTTTGAAAATGCTCGAACGAATGTTGTGAAATTCGCAAACTTTTCTAGTTTTTGTTTTATACGGTACAAAGAGAATATTCTCACAGATGCCACATATAAAGTTGAAATAGAAGATGGGCGCGATGCGCCCTAAAAGCCTAATTATTTAAATTTAACACTATCTTTAAGTGCTTTAATTGTAAATTTGTAAAGAAGTCCGATATTTTATCATTTGACACATATGTTGAAATATAGATTTTAGTTTGAATTATTGAGGCTTTACAGATTGTTCAATGTTCAATTTAACTTGTAGACTTTAAAATATAAACATTTATAGATGGTTTTCTAGGAGGGGGGGGGGGGGTCGTCACTTTGCCTTCGGAATGGTAAGATTTAAAATCATTAAAAATGTTATTTTGGTATTCGAAAGCATCTTTATAAAAAGCATGGCATTATTAATACCGAGAATGATGACGGTTAATGATTTATTTTTGATTTTTTAAGTGGAAATTTTGGCTTCTAAAAATCATTAAAATTTATTTTTTATATTTTTTTTATTTTAGGACACGGTTTAAGACCCCTGGACATTGAATTCATGCGTCAACTTCATGATAAAGTCAATATTATACCAGTCATTGCCAAAGGAATTCATTTAGTCATTTAGTCAGTTAGTTATTTAGCATTTAGTCATTTAGTCATTTAATCATTTAGTCATCATTTATTCATTTATTCATTTATTCATTTATTCATTTATTCATTTATTCATTTATTCATTTATTCATTTATTCATTTATTCATTTATTCATTTATCACTTAGCATTTATTCAATTGTGTATTTTTTTAATAGAATTACGACTTTTCCAACAATCTTTTATACACGTCCTTTTGTCCTTGTTAACACAAAGATACCTAAGAAAGATTCCGGATTTTTTTTAATCAATCTCTAAATATATATTAAAATCTTTTCTAAATGCATCCGGGGTTTATAAATTTTAAAGAATTTGTTTTTGGGAAGTGATGAAAAATTTAATACAAGCTTTTCCCACGATACTTCTTACAGTTTATTTTTTTACAGAGTTTTGCCGAGGGTGATCTTTTAAAAACTATCTACTTTTTTCTCGTGTTTGGATGTTTCATAGAATTATTGAATAAATGAATATTTGCAGCTGATACCCTGGTGGAGGAAGAGATAGCATTCTTTAAATCCAAAATAATGCAGCAGATTCACGCAGCTAAAATCAAGGAAAATAATCAGATTTTAAAATCTAAATTAATACACTTAATATTCGAAGTTACTACACATAATAATCGAAGTTACCACACTTATTATTCGAAGTTACTACACATAATATTCGAAGTTACCACACTTAATATTCGAAGTTACTACACATAATATTCGAAGTTACTACACTTAATATTCGAAGTTACTACACATAATATTCGAAGTTACTTCACATAATATTCGAAGTTACCACCTTAATATTCGAAGTTACCACACGATTTGTGAGAGAAACCTTTTTAATGGTTTCTCGCTCAAAGTTTGAATCAAGAGAAAAGAGAAAAAAATAATAAACTTAATGTTGTTTCTTGAAATTTATTTTTACACAGGTTTTCTAATTTATTGAGATTTTCTTAAAGGAAGTGACTGGCTAGTTAAACTTAAGAGTGCAGTATTATACAATTAAATATCAGGATTTATATGATACCTACCTATATTTTACATGATACGGCTCCTCCCGCCTGGATTATATATGGAACTCTACCAAGAGTATACACCCCCCCCCCCTCTCAGATGCTATATGGAATCTGGCCGAAAGTATATCTGGCGCTATACAAGAGTGATGGAGCCCAATAGATACTATATTTATTCTGATTGTGAAATTAGATTTACGAATTCCCTGAGGTGGAGGAGGGAGAGGAAAATGATAAGAAAGAGAACAGGTTAGTCCAACACAAGGGGTATATATTATTTAAAGAAACGCCCTTATTGATCTGACGTTTAAAGAAACAGACAAACAGAGATTAGTATTTTATATATATTGATGAGCCTACGAGTTCTACCCCTGTTATTGTGAATCGGTTATAGCACAATTTTTAACCATGCTATAGAACGAAATTATATTTTTATAATTTTTTGTCTGATCCTTGTGAGTAGAGAAAATACAAGCTTACAGCAGTTTGATTAATGAAGAGCGGTTGCTCTTAAAATATTATTCCTCCAAGTCTCACACACGTCAAATTGAATAAGATGAGTGTTTAGAAATCAGAGATATAGAAAAGAGATCTCAAGAAAATATCGACAAGTGAAAAATTTAACAACACAACATTGAATGCCTAAAATTTTAAAATTTTAAAAATTTACTCAATAAGTAGACGACTATGTTCTGCACTTTCCTTGACTGTAGACACGTGTGTGTGTCTGTACCAAAAGAGTGTGCGTGTGTAATAAGGTACCCATCTGCATAGCATTGCGACTGACTTTCTCTCGCCAGACCAGCGCCTTTTCCCTTCCCTTTATTCTTGCATTATTTTTTTGTAAAATTGTACAGTTTTGCCCAGCTGTACTCATTACTCAATTCACTGAACCTCTATACATATCTTCTCTTTGCAGTACAATGATCGCTTTTAAAAAAATGGAAGGAAAATTTTAATCACTAGAAAACTTCATTGCAAACCCTAGGGTCTAGACGTTGTGTCTATTAAACTTTGATTTTAAAATAATGAATAAGGTTAAGAACATACAATTTCAACAGTTAATATTTTCAAAATTATATTTTCATATATTTAGGAAAATGAAGGATCGAGTTCCATTTGCTGTAGTTGGATCTAATACAAGTAAGTGTGACTGCACATCAGTTTTAATTCAATTTAAAGCTTGATATTTATTTCTCGTTGTTCTGAAGGTTGAGAGGGTTAAATGTAAAAAAAAACTTTTTTTAATGCCTTCAAAATATGCTTACTCATAGACTCAATGCCATAACTAGTTTTAACTGAGCACTTCGTAATTCTGATTTATTAATAAAACTTTTTTTGATCAAATGATCAGTAAGATATCCAGAAGAAACTTTGCAGTAATACATTATTCGGAATGCACAACCTTTAAAGGGACTGTGAGCGTAATTTTAAGTGACCCTGGCCTCCATGCAATGATGGCAATGTCCGATTCTCAACAGTACCCATGAAAGCTTTGCCTGATTAAGTAAAAATAGGATATTCATGTTTATAACATTAAAAACATTTCTTTTGATTTGTTGTTTCTCAACAAAAGTGACTTGCGCATTTCCACTGCAGAAATATATTTTGAAATCATCAGAACTAAACACTACAGCCTAGAAATACGGCAGTATCCTCCACATTATCAATCAGATAAAGCTTTCAAGGGTACCGTTGTGAATCGGGCACTGTCATCTTTGCATGGAGGGTCTCTTTAACTAAAGATATCTAAGGAAAATAAGAACTCATTCATTTATCATTTGCATTGATAAATGTAGATTTTTCTGTCTGTCATCAGTCCGGGGTAATAGATTTATGCTTTAAGTAAGGCTGAAGCAAACTATTTAATCGAAAATGTCAAAACCTTTTTGCAACAGGAAAAAATTTACTTGATACTTACTTGATACTTGTGTGTGATTCTAAGGACTCCAGGTAGAAGTATTGTAGGAATGTCTATTCCAGTCCTCCAGAGTAGTGTTCAGATCATCCTGGTTATCTTGGGTTTTCAGCATACGCCTTACACTACTCAAATACACAAGTGAAGTTTTAGTTGATCAGTTCATCAAGTTTAGATTTGAAAATTGACAAGGTTCTAGAGTCCTTGACCTCTGATGGGAGTCCATTCCACTTAGCTACGACTCTGTTAGTAAAAAAGTTGGATCTCATGTCAGTTCTAGACCTGGTTGCTACAAGGTTATCATGGTATGCTGTGTTTCTGGTTATTCTTTGTGGCTCCTGCCCAACCAATGTAAACTATGTTCATGTTGTGATGTCATCATCATCAATTCCTTTCAGAATTTTGAAAACCTGAATCAGATCAGCTCTGAATCTTTTGTTAGCCAGGGATAATACTAATATACCTAACTCCCTAAGTTTGTCTTCGTAGGTTACTCCCTTTAGGCCTGTGATGTAATTAACTGCTCTCCTTTGAACCTTTTCAAGAGTCTCAATGTCGCCAAGGTGCCAGGGTTACCAGACTGGAGATGCAAATTCTAAGTGGCAGCGTACAAACTGAACATAAAGTTTCAAGAATATGTATCTATCCCTTATTGAAATGCTCTGGTAATTTTCTCTAACACAACCATTGCTTTCTTTGCTGCTTCAGCACATTGTAGGGAAGGTTAATAAACTCGGTGATGGTGATGGACCAAACCTCTGTAGAGTAAAAAAGTAGATGTTAGGTTTTAAGCTTTTCTCCAATATAACACCAAAATCAAATTAGTAGTAACATTTATATAGTAAAATTTAAAAAAAATCAAAACTCATTCAGTAATTCAAGGTTTGAAAAAATATATTTTTTATTTTTTAAAGGTATAAAAACATGCGTCTTGAATCCCTGAACACTGTCCATTTGTCAGGTTTTCTATATTTCCAAAATTGTTTAATTTTAGCAACAACAACAACTATTTTTTATACACTTGGAAAAAAAACCCCGGCCTTTTGCTTATAACCTTATTCAAGGTATTTTGACTATTTTAACATTTCTGAACTCAGTGTTACGGACATTTTGATACCCGTCTTGATTTATTTTGACGATTTTATTTGGCTTACATCAGTGATTTAATTTTCACAAAATAAGCAAAATCTTTTTTTAAATTTTGGGACTGGTGCAAATTGTCTAATAGTTTCAACTTTACTTAAAGGTAAGAGGGAACTCTACCAAGAGTATACACCCCCCCCCCCTCTCAGATGCTATATGGAATCTGGCCGAAAGTATATCTGGCGCTATACAAGAGTGATGGAGCTGCAGAAATTGAATCTTAATTATTATGTAATATGTAATTAACTATAGTTGAAATGGGCCTCTATTACGTTGGAATAAAAGTAGTGCACCCCATTAATTTTCTTTAGACGGAGGAACGTATGGTGTAATATGTTCTAATCTTAACTATGCAGTACATTACTTTGGATTAAATGGCAAACTCTGGTTTAAAATGAATATTACATTACTTTGGATTTAATGTAATTTTTTTGATGATGAATGCGACAGAGACAGGAGGAGAGAGTATGATCAACAGTAATGTACAGCATTAATCTCTGGCTGGGTTTACAGCCAGGGATGCATTAACATATGGCTTAATATGTTAGCAAGAAAAGATTGGAATAGCTCATGACATTAGCATACGGTTTAGTATGTGAGCCATCAACAGTAACATATGGCTTAGTTTGTTACCCGGTAGCTAGGAAAGCTACATACATACATATATATATAGATAGATAGATAGATAGATATCATGTCTAGACAAGTTCACATGGTACTCCAAAGAGAGGCTTTGGAATGAAAAGAAAGGTGGCGGGATATTGACCATAGTTCGGCCAGGCCTTAACCATTCACAGTACGAGCCGCCGCTACCAATGTACCCCTACTTGGATAATGAAAGAGAGTGGATACTAATCCATGAAAACGACAGTAATGTAGCCCTATGTTTTGTGTATCTTGCAGCTGAGGTTGGAGGGGATAGTTTCCAAGTTTGGAATGCAGAGCTGTGTGCGAGGCTACAAGCTGAAATCTCTACCCTCAGAGAAGGCGGGTATACGTGTTCTCTCGCGGGGGATTTCAATGGACATATCGGGGCAGACAGCCGAGGTATTCCAGGGAACAACAGGGACATAAACTCAAATGGGAGATTAGTAAGGAATTTTGTTTCGATTAACAACCTCCGCATCGTCAACAGCGATACTAAACGTTGTAAAGGTTTATTTACACGAATAACTAACAACTCTGTGGCTGCATTGGACCTGGTCCTTGAGGATGACAGGGAGGTCCCACTGGTTACGGAAATGTCAATAGACACTTTCGGGGAAATACTGGGGGGCAGTGATCATTCAGCAATTTTCTATAAAGTACAAATAAGGCCAGGGCCATCCACTAAGGAACCACAGGAAGAGGATCCAATTGTTGGCCCATGTCTAGCAACAGGAGAGGCATATAGAGAAGCCTTTGAATCCATGGTGCTCATGACAGATTGGAGTCGAATGGATACTGGAGAGAAATGTCGGCTCCTCCAGGACACTCTAGTATCAGCAGCAAAAAGTTCATGCAACCAAAAACCGGCACATAAGACCCGCGTTCCAGTGTGCAAGTCGGTGAGACGGTTGCGCAGAAAATGCATTGTTGCAGAGGCACATGTCAGACGGTTAGAGCATGAAAAATCTGTGCTAGGCTTTGGGAGTGGTGAGGCTGAGAAAGGGAAAGAGAAACTTTTACAAGTCTTCAAGCAGAAGGCGGTAACCCTTAGGCTACAAATCAAGGAGAAGACCCGTCAGGGGCTACTGCTACGTAGGTTGCGTGCAAGGTCGACTTTGACTAACAAACAGTTCTGGAGGCTTGTCAGAAGAACAGTGAAGAAGAAAGGAATACTATCGGCTGTCAAAGATACACAAGGGAGACTGGCGACAGACAGAGCACGGATTGAGGAGATTGTTTTGGAGGAGCTAGCAAAAATCTTCTCTTGCCAAAGGTCTGCAATATTTACTCACAGAGGTGAACAGCTCATCAAAGAGATGGATGTCAAACAGCTTATGGGGTGGCAAGAGTGGATGAACGATACAGTAGATAGCACAACCCATGAAGAGCAAGTCTGCAGGAGAACCACTGAGGTTGAAGTTAAAGCTGTTATAGACAAGATTAAACTACAACGATCCCCTGGAGTTGATAATGTCACAGTATCTATGCTTAAATATGCTGGGCCGTGCTTCGTGAGCATGTTGACTGATGTTATCAATGCAACCTTCCATGAGGGTAAGGTTCCCGACTCCCTGCTTGTCGGAAGAATGACACTTATTGACAAGAATTATGCTAATACTATCATGGGACTCACAAGATCTGGACTAGATCGGTCTCTTGCAGCCCATACCCTATGGGAGAGATGTGCTATACCAGCTATACTGTATGCGGTGGAATCCATGGTGTTATCTAACAGTGTCACTATAAAGCTAGACAGCATCCATCATCAGGTTGCACGGTTCATCCTGCAATTACCAATTTCGTCGTCCAAAGTAGTTGGGTACATGGATGCGGGGTTTAAACCAATGCGTGACAGGATAAAGGAGCGAGTCGCTTTATATGTGTGGGAGATCATGCATAAAAAACGAGATCCTATTCTGTCCAATACATTCGACGCGGTGATCGGAGCACATGACGACCCGTGGGCGAGAATGGTTGGTGATCTGATTGCTGATTTGGGACTGGATGTGTTTGAAGGTCCTAAAACTAGGCTGAAGAAGAGACTTACCGAAATGTCAATAATAGGGGTCTTGGAGCAGAAAAGGCAGTGTGTGTCTCTCAACTGTATGCCAACCCCTCAGATCTGGTTCAAACTCCAGCCACATGTTTGTGATAGCAAGGTAGGGGGTGTATTTAACAGATTGAGAGCCGGGGATGCAGGGCTAGGAAATCGACGCCCAAACATACATGGCTCCGCCACTAAATGGTGTCCGCTATGCCTAAATAAAGGGATAGTTAACCACCTTTCGGAACATCATGTTGTTGTATCCTGTCAAGCAGTAGCTTATGAGAGGTCTAAAACAGGGCTGGGAGTCCTTATGTCAGGGAGGCCACGGAGTAGCACGGCAATCCTTACTGGGATGTTAGGGGGAGATAATGTCTCAAAGGAAGTGCTGCTGAAAAGGACCGAAAAGATAAATTCACTGCTGGAGCGGTGGATGGATTTGGCAGGAACAGCTTAAATTAGGGTAACCTCTTTTCTTCGCCTAAAGGGTTGTTTGATACCAACCATCCAATGGAGTTAATTGATGAGCCACTGGCTGGAATGTATCTCCTTTGTATCTTCTGACAATGGGCTAATTGTTGTAGGTATAAAGGTCCAGTTAGAGTAGGAGTGGGACGGTGCTTCCCATTCCTGCCGGCGGTCTGGGGGGTTCATAACGGGACCTCTTTCAGATTTCTTTTCTTATAGTTCTTATAAATGGTTTTAAAGAATATATCCAGTAGTTCTTACTCTCAATGCATTTTTAAGAATTTTAATCGTTCTCTTTTCATTACTACGTCCAACCCCAATTTATCAAATTTTTCCCTTGTTTGATGTTCTTGGGGAAGAGAATTCAATCTTATTTGAATACTTTTTTCCTTTTAATGTTTAAGAAACTATTTGGGAAGAAAATTCAAACAACATTTAATTCTATTCCATTTTTTGGCGAGTTTTGGGGAAGATAATTCAAACTAAATTGAATTTTCTTCCCTTTGCTGGTTTTCTTAGATTACACTTTTTCATTCCCTCTCCTTTTACACTTTTTCACTTTTTTTTCTCTTCCTTGTTTGGTAAAAAAAAATTCCTTGTTTCCCTTCTGAAGGGGGGGGGGGGAAGTAGAGAGAGAGTGAATCTAATACAATTTTAGATCGGAAACCATTGGGTCAAAAAACACTGAGATCAGTTTCCTCAAGGTCAGATGAGCGGGTGGCTAATCTACTGGTTAGCTTCATAATAGAATTCTTAACCAATTTTTTTAGTTATTGACGGGGGAGATGGAAAGATGGTGCGAGGAAGACGATATCCCTGGGGAACAGTGGACATTGAAAACTTGAACCACTGTGATTTCGTACCTCTCAGGTAAACTTAAACCACTGTGATTTTGTTCCTCTCAGGTAATCTTACACTGTGATTTAGCCCCTTTCTGGTAAAATTAACAGCTGTGATTATGTCCCTCTCATGTTATCTTGAATCACTTTGATAAAACACCTCTGAATAAAAATTCAACAACTTTCGTTTTGTCCCTAACTGATAAACTTGAACCAGTGTTATGTTTGTTTACCATCTACTGAAAAATTAATCACTGTATTATAATCGCAAAAGACTAATGTAATAAAGTGCAATGGACCACTGCTGGGGGCTCGAGAAACCCATTCATGGGTTTGTAGTAATTCTCGCAACAAGAGACAATGACGCAACCATCTATTTTTGGTATCGGACAATTCTCAACCATGTCAAAATTTTCAATATTAAACTATAATATTTAATTCTATTTCTAGTGCTAAACAAAATTATTTACCGCATACTTAAAAAAGAAAAATATAATTCTATATCTAAAAAGCATTTTTGTGTCTGAAGGGGTTGTTAATATTTTTTTTTAAAGTGCACATTTACCCAAAATTTTGGAGTGGGGGGAGGTTGTTACCAACGAGGATATAGTGTTTAGATCACTAATGTATGCGTAATTCATATTTGATTATTATACTGTAAGTTATCCAGAATCTTATTCTGTCATTTATTAGTAAACAGTTGTAAGTGTACTGTCCAGCTAAATAGGCTGGTAGATATAAATATATCAGCCCCCCTGATGGTTATTCTTGATTTTTATTATTTAAGATTTGATGTTAAATGATTTTCCACTGTAGATAATATTTCTTCCAAAATGGAATACTGCGGAGCAGGCTGTTTTTGTCAAAATAGATTAAATTCAACCTATAATCAATAAATATACTTTTACCTTATCTGTCTGTTTTTATCCGATGAGCAACGAAACGGCCGAACCGATCGGGCCAAAATTTATTTTGTCAACTTTCATGACCCGGACCAGGAAAAAATGTCGCCAGATACTTCATTTGAAAATGGGCAAACTTAAACAAAAAATTCCTTGAGATTTTTTAAGAGAATAACAATGATAAAATGGCAACTTGAAAAGCAATAGTTAATTTAATTGTTAATAGAAAATGGGGTACTAAAAGTCTAGCATTTAAAAAAAAAATCTTCAATAACAATATTAGAAATATTCACAATATTGAAAATATTAACAATATTAAAAAATTGATGTGTTACTCCAAAGGATGCAATTTTGGTTCATGGTAATGTTTATATTTAAGATTTTGGTATTTAAGAATTTCATAAGATTTTCGACTTAGATTGGATTTATTTTGTGTCTAAAATTTTAGATTTATGGAGTAATCTTTAGTTCTAGTTCTTTGGATCTGTTAAAAACTAAAATATGCAGAAAACGTTTTGTCATAATTTACTTCTGTATGAATATTGTCAATCTTATAAACTTGAGAATCTTGATCTTGATATCACAAGATCTCTTGTTAACTTCCCTTGTAGAATCAGCAAAAGTTTATAATCTTATGATAACCTTCTACTTAAAAGTCGATAAAAAGTTCAGACAAAGGAACTGATTTTACGCTCCACTGATTTTACTCTCCATACAGTATTTTTCTAATTCTTAATATATCCTTAAAAATTTAATGTTGATATAGAACTTACTAAGCATAAAATATAAGGATTTGAGTATTATATACTATTTTTGTGTTCAAGATGATTTTAAATCTAATATATAACTCAGCTTCGAGAAGAGTTTTCTAATCCTTAAATATAATCATTGAAAATGTTATGTAATATAGAAATTTCCATGCTTAAGATACAAGAGGTGTCTATGTATTATTTTGTATATATTTTTGGGTTCAAACTTGGGTGATATTAGACGTTCTTTGCGTTACATTGGGACCTAAAATACTTTGGAATAGGAAACCGATATTTAAGCCATTTTGTTTAAAGGTAAATAGTTTCACCAGTGTTCAGCAGTTTGAAAATCAACCTTTTAAGAGAAATGGGTAGGAGTAGAGTGTACACTGTACTTAGCGTTCTTAGCTGCATTTTATGTTTATTGAAATATTTAAAAATATTTAAAAGACAATAAGTCTTCTTCCTATTCCAGCTTTAGGTGTCTTATTATGAAGCATATTTGAAAACTTTACTTTTTTGTAGCAATAATATATAGCGATAATCATAAAAATAATGATGATGACGATGATGATGACGATGATGATGATGATGATGACGATGATGATGATAATGATAATAATGATAATAATAATGATAATGATAATGATATGATAATGATAATGATAATGATAATGATAATGATAATGATAATGATAATGATAATGATAATGATAATGATAATGATAATGATAATGATAATGTGATAATGATAATGATAATGATAATGATAATGATAATGATAATGATAATGATAATGATAATGATAATGATAATGATAATGATAATGATATTGTCAGGAATATGTTGATAAGATCCCACCTGCAGGACTTGAAGGAGATGACCAACATGGTTCACTACGAGAACTTCAGATGCAGGAAACTAGCAGGTTAGATATACTTCAAGTACTCCAGTGCTTAGGAGCTGGACTCGCAACATTTGGGATCTGGGACCCGGATCATATTCAAAACAATCAGAAATACGAATTCGGTTCCAATATTAAAAAAAATCACCGAGTTTTTTAGCAAGACACAAATTGTGTTGACTGATGAAAGCTGAGACAAAACTCTTTGCCAACTTCTTGAAACATATTAAAAAGAAATGTTATTGAGTTCGAATCTAAACTTCTCTTTTTTAATAAAATATTCACACTTTTTGCTTAATTTTTAAACCAACACAAATAAATTCATACAGAAATTATGCTCCATTATTGATGTAAATCTCCCTTCATGAATGGTTTGTTTAAAGCTTACCTCATTGTTTTATAATTTTCTCAATTTTATACTGCATCATTTCTAGCCAGAAAAAGACTCTGAGCTGAAAACTTTAGAATGGTGGATATCGAGATTCAACCAGTCAGAGTCGCGTATATGAAGCCGATAAATTTGAAATTTTGCGTCCCATTTAAGATTGATGTACAGAAGCGGGAGGGACTCTCTAATTTTAAAAACTGGTTTTTTATTTTTCTCTACCATATAAAAGAAATAACAGTTTAAGAAGAAAATCAAAAGTGTGTCCATTGGATACTCAGATTAAGTAATCGAGAAAAGGGATATCTTATTCTAAAGTTTTCAGCTCTGACGTTTTTTTCTGAATAATTAATCTTTTTACTATTTTTTATTAATTTTTCCCTACGTCAAAAATATTTGTTACCAGGGATTAATGAAATTTTCTTCTTTTTTTGGAAAAAACTCGATAATTTTTAATATAATTTCTCGTTACAAAACTGACTTTAAAATGTTTGCTTCAGAGATTAAGAAAAACATTTCCTAAATCTGGAGGGGGATCAAACTGGACATATTTCGTTGTCGAAAAACTGATGCAAGATTTTGAAACCTTAAGACTACGAACTTTTTGTTTTTAAATTGAAATAAGTGTGATCGAATATTCCCGCATTTTGAAAGACTAATTTAAATGTCTAAATGGAGGATCGTATTTCTAGTAAATTAAATATTACAGTGAATTTGGGAGTTTCCAGGGTGTCCAAGAAAACGTGACAGTAGAAAACGACTTGAAGGTCGAGTCGTCTGTGATCTTTGAAATTATTCACGGCATTTTTTCTTAAACTAAATTTTACAATTATAGTCCCATAGCTCTGGAATTTCCGAAATGTTGTCAGCCCTTTTTTGTGCTTTCAATATTTCCGAAATGTTGACGAATTTTGTTCATAATCCGACAGTTTTGGTTTATTCAATAAAATTTAAACCTGAACAAAATATTAACAGCACAAAAAAGGCAAACCACATTTTGGCAATCCTAAGACAAGGAGAATTTTGTGGATATTATTTAGAGAATCATACGAATGAAAGAAGTCTCTAATAAATGCAAAGATCAAAGAGTACTTTCAAATAGTCTTGCTACTGTCATGTTTAGTGGAACACCCTGTTCTTATTGGTCTAAATTCAATAATTTATTTATTTTGATATTTTGTATAAAATCCATCTAGAATTGTAAATTTGTTCAAATTTTGATTTCATCCTTCCTACGTCTCTTTCCTTTTTTTAAAAAGGTTAAAAGTGTTCTCTCTTTACTGTGCCCGTGTAGACTTTTTATAAAATTATTTCTGCTCATTTCTTTGTATGTCAATCTTACTTTTTACATTTTTAAACTCAAAAAATGGCGTAAGTTAAGATTAGGTAAAAATTTCAGCAAAAAGTCAAGGCATTGCAAATACGATAATTTGTAAAATTTGCAAAGGGCCCTTCCCCCCTAAAATCCAAACTTTCTAGGGGGCAAAATAAATATTAAATTTATGAAAAATTCTCTAATATGCCTATGGGTATTCTAAACCCCTATAATTTGTTTAGGTATAGTTGAACCCAATAATGAGAGAGTTCCCAACAAAAATCCTCTGCTCATGATCGAAGAAGAACAGAAGGAGCAGTCCGCCAAGCTTTCAAAGATGGAAAGAGAAATGGAAGAGGTATTTGGAAACTGCTTCAAAACAAACATTTTCAAGACATTTGATAAAATAAACAATTTCTTTGTATTTGCTAGAAATAGACTAAATTTTACACTCCGTTCTACCTTTTAAATATTTACAGCTTTTCTGAAGTTTTGACGGATTTGATTGATTGTTTTTTACAAAATGATATTTCAAATTTTCGATTTTCTTCTCTGTGGACAAATTTTTTTGCTTTCCAATGCTCTAAGTGAGTTCGAACAAACTTAATATTTTTTAAGGACTTCTTTTTAAGAATAATATCCCTTCCCCCCTCCTGTATGTATAAAATGCCTTTTTTTTGACGATGAAATGTGCACCCTTCAGAAGGTGGGTGGTGAGGATAGTAAAGGTCGGAGAGTGTTATGAATGCCAGAAACAAGCTTAAAACATGTGATTTAATGGGAATCGATACCCATATTGTATACCATGCGCATAGAATGAACACAGAGTGGGGATGGGGTCTCTTTAAAAAACAGACGGTAGTTGGGGTAGTAAGGGTAGTTGCCATCAGATTCAACTCCAAGGGTGGGAGTGGGGTCTCTCTGAAATATAGACGGTAGTTGGGGTAGTAAGGGTAGTTGCCATCAGATTCACCT